TTTCTTTTCGGGTAAACACATCAGCTTCTTGTCAATAGGAAGTATATCACTCTTCTTTTCCGAACGATTCTGAGGACTTTTCATAAGATCTCCACATATCTTAGCCACGGTGGCCTGTCAGTATAATCTCGCCTGCCACCCAGTCACGTTCAGACCCTCCAGTTCTAAGGAGTCAGAAAAGCGACTCGCCACATCCTGAAAGTTTCTCGGATGTTTGGTTCGTATTCAATCATGCTATTAGCTATGTATGATGTGCAAATACATGTATATAACATGTATGTCTATCTATATGATATTATATGTATACATAAAATTATACAGTTATGCATAATATCAATAATATCTATCATCCCAAATCCCTACCATCATAGTGTCCATTTTTTGCATACAACGGGGATGCGATTTCCGATGGATGGCGCTTGAACAGGACGGAAAGATCCCAACGTGAACCAAAGGGGACCTGATTTGCCCATGGCTTGACTTCCGCAGAATCCATTCTTTCAACTGATGTTTTCTTTAACATTGGAAAAAATAAAACATGTTCCAAACCACCAGCCAGGATGTGTGTTGATCAATTTGTAAATTGGGAAACTAGCACTTTTTATCTTGGATTTGTGTAAGATGAAAACAACAACAACAACAACAACAACAGCAGCAACAACAACAACAACAACAAGAACAACAACAACAACAACATAAGAACATGTGTTCATGTGTTTTCTATTTTCTATAGATTCCCTAAATGGTGGATTAAGCAACAATTGGAAACACCATTGAACAAAGATACGCTTCGATGCCCCCCACACTGAAACTCAGGGCATCTTCTTGTGCCATGGGCCCCTTGATAGGACACAAGAAGAACGGTTCACGAAAAAAAAGAATAGGGCTTCATATAACCAGAAAAAAGGAATTGCTTGGATTCACAATGTTGGTATGGCTCAATAATTCTCGATATCTCAAGCCAACTGGGTAACATATCACCCCGCATCAACCCATCTCCCCCGCCATCAGATCTCCAAGGGACGCTGGTCGGATCCGCCAATGTGGTTACTGTGGACAAGAGCTGCGTCCTGATGCTAAGCCCAAGCAATGAACATGGCTTGCGGCTGATCGACGATCCGCACACTGATGGCTTTTGTATGGTGTTGATATTGTTGAATCCGTCGCCAGCTGGTGGTTTCAAGGAAGAAACCAACATCGCCAACAGTTTTGGGTGTTTCAACCACCAATGATTGTAAGAGAGGTCTGATTTAATATACTCATATACATTAATATACCAACATACGCCAAATTAAACTATAAAACAACACAAACAAATCCAGAATTATGCAAAATTCATGAGCCAGGCCTAGGCCAAAGATGTTCGATCCAAGGATTAAAACTCTCTACAATGGTCATTGTTCAGTGCCTCTCTCTCAAGACATGCTGCATTTCGGCTTGCTTTGGATACAAACACCGTTATCAAAGACCGCTTTTTGCAGAGAGTCCCCATGAATATCTTTGGATATATGCCTCATCAACAGCTAACTAAGCACCGTGAGCCACAATTCTAGGGGGCTGCTAAGCCCCTATTTTTGCTGGGGTAGGCGGTAGCCCCCAAACTTCCATTCAGCACAAGTTTCGCATTCTCCATGGCTGTGATCACTTCGTAACCTGGATCGTCAGCTGTGGTGATATCTGGATCGTGTGAATCCTAGAGTTGGATACGAGTATGTGGAAAACCGCAAATTGGGGCAAATCAGTCCATATCATATACAAGTACTATAGTGCTCCTTTTAAACAAATTAAGAGGAAACAAATGCAGGATACCTATTCTCATGTTCCCATCACGGTCGAAGGTGTCCTCCTCTATACTGTAAGCTGGCCCCCCAATGTATGTATGTTTGTTGGTCTATAGTCTATAAACATCCATTAACATCCGTTGACCAGTACACGTTTGTCATAAACCCTAGCTATACTAGATATAAACAAACGTAGCGAACTATGGGGCCCCATCTTGTAAACAAAATGTCCGAGTTATATTTTTCCCATGAGCTAGCATTTTGTTTCCCACTTTTACTGTGAGTTCTAACTGGGTTTGTCTGAAACATTTGTACTACAAATTCCAGTCATCATGTTCCCTTCTAGATATTGCCACAACTTTCTTTATCAGTCCCCCAAATTTTCAGCTACCACACCCAATTGTCTAAGATTGCTTGAGTTTGTATTGTCTAATATCTAATCAAGACAAAATGTGTGATACATATAAACACCTTATCATTATCGTCAGATTGGTTGACTATGATTGGTTGGATCTGATCATATCATATCATATCCCCATTGTATCCCCATCGTATCACCATCACCCCGTCGCCGAGAAACTGACCCTCAGAGAGGTCTCTTGTGCTGCTAGGCGTCGAACCTCCGTCTCAACAACCTGAGGAAAACATGACGCAAAAATGCGAGCGGATTCATAACAGTTATGACAAAAAAAAAGGGATTTAAGATGATTTAACTAACAACAAATGGATTTCACTTGTTGTGACAAAAAAAATGATACAGTATGATTTCCAAAAACGTCAAAGACAATAACTTATGTTACCCACATCACAACATTTATTTTTTAAGACAGCCATTGCCCCACAAACCGATCATTCGTAGAAAGGTTGACACACAAAATTTTGATTGTTTTCAGACTTCATACTTCCAGTCCCCCTAGCCTTAGCCCAACACAGTTTCTGACCCATGTCCTCCTTATTCCCTTGTCCTCCATGATTTGTTTATTCATATATTATATATCATATATCGTATAATTCCAACATACTCCGCCACGATCAATTCCAACCTCTCAAGGTTTGAGACAAATGCCAAAATAGATGAATATATTAATATTATTCTACTATAGCTATAGTAAATCACATGTGTATATATATATATACATATGTAGTTGGTTGTTTTTAATTAATCATTATGTGCATGTGTTTTTTTCGCTTCACTTTAGCGCAAGAAAATCCACGAAAAACACGAGCCGAGCCGAGGCGCCACGTTTCGAAGCCTCGCTTCATCCACCTGCAACGCCGAGGCCAGGGCAGTGGTGACCAGCGGCACCAGGTCCAAAGGCTCCGTCCTGGTCACCAGCGACTTGGATGATTTGGGGATACCTTTATGATATATGTATAATGTATACCTAGGCAACCGAAAGTATGCAAAAAAAATGTATTTGTTGGAAAAACCAGGTTTTTCCAAACAAATATGTTTTTTGATAAAATTAGCCCCGAAAGCACATTTGGGTAGTTTAGACATTATTTGCATACTTTGGTTGCCTAAATCAATGCGACACGCCGCTTCTCCTTGATTGGGCTCACCATACCTCTTGAGTTTTGGTGAACTTAGAGTGGGAGCAGGTGCTACCTCCGCCCACTACCCTGCCTGCAATTTGCATTTGAGTTTGCCTGCAACCTTGATGTTCTTGTGGCGACTTTATCAGCAAAGCCATTTATCAGGTTCCAAGTCTTCCAACTAGAACCATGGCTGCCAAGTTAGAGGGATGCAATGTCGAATCCATCACCCGGCTTCAAAAAGAAGGCAGGGGGACAGAATTTCAAAAAGATATTTGTAAACATTTGTGCTGTTTGTAAAGCAAGATGTACTCACCCCATAATAGCAATAGAAGTCTTCCGCCGAAGGCCTCCACGATTTGCCGAACGCTTTTTGGGACAGCTGTGTGGAAGTTCTCTTCCCAAAGTCTGTGGCGTAGCAGCAACTTTATTTGTTTACAATGGGGCTTTTGCGCCATGGCGTTCTTTTTCTCTTAGAAGTACTGCAGACAGTCAAGGGTTGCACTGCCCAGGAACCCCCTGCAGCAGATGACCTTGTGAACATCATCATTCACAATATTCATGCTGGCGGTATTTGCAAAGATTTGCTGGAACAGGACACCCACTTTTGACTGAGCATGCTTTTGCTACCCAGGGCCCAGGTGACCTTTGCACCTTCCCTGCGCCGTCCATCAGGAATCCAGCGCCTTGTCGAAGGCAACCGAAGATGAGAAGAAGGAGAATTTTGCTTTGCAGTGAGCGTCGTATTTTTGATTTGGGGCCCCTCCAAAACGTAAAATCACATCCTCAAAATTTTGCTGTTTTAAAAATATAATATGTTGGGGACACCTATGGGGGATTGGGTTGAATCTCTTTGAAGAAAGATACATGTATTCTGTCACATCTTCTTGTGTGGGGTTTATTGTATTTATCCACTGTAATGCCCAGGAATTTGAAAGAGGAACAGAAGTGATGCCAGGCAATTTTGTACTTGATGCCTTGATGGACAAAGGCCAATTGTTTGAATACATGCCTGGACCGGAAAGCCGAAATCTGCAAACCACTTGCTTCCAAGTTCGTCGGTGCTTCGAAAGCCAGTGCTCTGACCAAATCTTGTTTGGGCCCATAGTGGAAGCAGATTTGGAAAACGCACTGTTTTACCGATTGTGGGGGCCATACCATGGCTATTCAACTCACGGCTGAATACCACTGCTGCTGCAGGATGACAAAGTTTGTTTTACCATCATCTCAGTTTCGAATGGTAACTTCTGCCATAACAACTTATAGTTTAAAAACAGATTCTTGGTGCCGCACGCAGGTCATGCGATGGTCTTCTCGCTTGCCTGCTGATTCGAACGGAGGTGACCTCCCCCCGGCACTGCCTGCTCTAAGAAGAATTGGGTTAAATAATTTTGAATGTGAATATGTGGCAAATCCAAACATGTGGGCATGTCGTAACCCCAAATCAGACATTGGGTGATAGGAATGGTTTAAATTTAAAAAGTACAATGTGGCGACCCCCACTTAGAACTTGATTTTTACGCCCCATGAAATTATACCATATATAGACCATATATTATATACATAACCTATCATGAACCAACTTAGTTATATGTACCTTGGCCAGGATTTCCCACGTAATCTTGGATTAGCAGCAATCCAGGGCTCAGCGTTTTTCCTAGATCAGAGTTGAAGTTCCAAGTCATGGCAGCTGCTCCACCAGAGCCTGCTGACGTGGCACTCGTCCCTTATGACGAGGACGACGACGATGGAGATTCATGGCCTCCTACCCACGCTTTGGCTTGTTCGTGGGAGGAATGCTCTGATGTTCGGAAAAGCCTTCGGGATACGGGAAGGATGTTGAAATGGCCAAAGGTGGAACTTACTGGGATTGGTTCCCTGTCAGCTTTGAGTGTGAACCGCCAAGCTGTTCATGATGCTCTGGAAGTTTGGGGTTCCCACCACACTAGTGAAGCAAAGTCCCCACCCGTCAATTGGCTGAAGGAAGAGGCCGGGATGTGACAAGACTATTCGGGAATTCCTCGGATTTATTTTTCTCAGAGAAGAAACAAAATAGATCGCTATATTTCTTTTTGACTGGGCAGGTGCGACAGCTCTATGTCATGCTGAACATTGAGCAGAAGCCGCGCAGCATCTACTTAGATTCGTGGGGGATGAAGCGGTTGATCTCGCTGTGTGTCCGAAAGTGGAAAGCCCCCATCCATACGTTTCGTGTTCCCTGGCTACCTATAGCATATTCTTTTCAATGGATGAAATGGATCAAATCACATAGCATGGTTTAGATGTTTTTTTTGCACATCCTAGGACCCAAACCTTCGTCGTTTGATGGACACTATGACTGAGCACTGGGGACACCTCATTGGCCGAACCCTTGAGCCGCCTCCTGGAGAAGACGACGGAGAATCTCCTGCTGGGGCTGCTGCGCCAGTTGCTGCTGGCGATGCTGATGGGGGTTCCACCACTGGTGAGGGTGATGGGCCTCCTACTTTGGACGATGATGTCACCAATGGTGATGGCGCGGGGGGCCCGAGTGGAGATTCTGCGTTTCCTACTTCCAGTGATGGAGCCTCCACCAATGGTGAGTCTGATGGGAATCTTGCCTCTGGTTCTGCCATTCTTACGCCTGGTGATGGAGCTTCCAGCAATGTTGAAGGTGATGGGAATCCTGTGCCTCCTACCTCTGGTGGTGCTCCTTCTTTGCCATCGACGGTAGTGGAAATGGAAAATGAAAGGGCTTACATCTTGAAACTTAGAATTTGCTTAAAACAAATATATATATTATATAATATATTTTTTTTCGCTGTTCCCACTTGTACACTATGTTATATATAGGTTTATTCCCCTATGTCACTTATATGCACCTTCTGCCATAGCTGTTAGCCAAGGCGTCGCCTGAAAGCCATCCAGGATGCCAAGAAGTTGCCGCCGCCGTTGCCTTCAGCTGCCGCAGTTGCTGTTCCCAAAGGCTTGGGGGGGGTTAGGGGCTGTGTATTTTGGCCCCCCCTTTACCTGGTCAGGTTTTTGATTATATTGGACCTATAGGAAATATTCGCATGAGGCATATTACCTATATAACATGTCTATATATATATATACACACTATGATACAATCAAGAAAAAGTATGTTATATGGAACATTTCCACCTCATCCAGTGTCATTGAAAAGGTATATCATTCCCAGCTACTCTTATAACCAACATGCTCACCTTTGACCTTTGGGCAGGTATGAATCCTGATCTGGTGGACACCTTGCCGTTTGACCCTTACCTGGCTTCTGCAGCCTTGCCCAGCTCTCCACCGCCGGTGTCACCTCCCAAGGAGGCTGATACACTCCTGACTTTGCCCACCCTGGTTTTGGGAGAGACGGTGGATGATGATTTGGATGGCTCCGCCATTGCTGACCCCAAAGATACCAAGGTGGAATCCTTGCCTCCCGTGGCTGATCCGCAGGCATCAGTTCCTGAGGTTCCTGGCCAGCCTGATGTCGCTGCTGAACCTGCGGCAACGTTGGATGGGACGCCCAAGACGGATGGGTTCAATGCTTTGGACCACCAGGATAAGGTTGTGTGCCTAATTTGGCCCACTGTTTTGTACTTGCCAAGAGTTCATTAAGTAGATATCCCCCAAAAGATGTTTCAACTTCGGGTGTCCGAAATCATCTAAAATTAGAACGTTATTGAACCTTGTGATTTTTGGGCAGCACCATTTTAGGACATTTATATGTTATGTAGACGCACCAAAATGTTCATAAAATCAATCAACCGTTGTGGGGATACCAGATTATATTATGGGTTTATAAATATATTCTGGGTCACTAGGGGAACAAACAAAACAGCAGTGCCAACCCCTTAGGAGCCGGTGTCTCGTTTGGACCAGTTCCGCTCAGTTCCCGAAGAAGAAGCTGCAGACGCCTCTGAGGAACAGGGCAAGCCCTCGGGACGTGGGAGGCCAAAGGCTAAGGCAAAGGCTAAGGCAAGAGGTAGGCCAGGTAGGCCAAAGGGTAAGGCGAAGGCGAAGGCACGAGGAAAGGCCACCCCCAAAGCGAAGGCAAAAGCAAAGGCGAAAGCCCACAAGGAAGGTGGTGCAGGTTCCCAGGTCAAAAAGACCACGCGCAAGAGGAAGGCTGAGGAGCACCAGGATCAGGAGGAGGCAGCACAGCAAGATGCTCCTGTTACCCCCCCCAAGCGCAGCACCCGCAAAGACGATGCAGAGCATGGAAGCAAGACTAAGCGCGCCAAACCAGCACCCAAGAGCGCACCCCGCCAGCGCAAGAGGGCTTCCCGGGGTGAAGCTATCAGCTTTGCTCGCCGGAACCCACCTGAGGGTGAAAGAGGGTTCGCAGAATGGAAGGCTATCCGTGAAGCCTACCGAGTCAATTTGGCTCACCTCAAGCCCCAGGCCAAGCACGAGGACGCTACAGCCCAGGGTTTCTCAAGTTTGCGTTTTTTTCAACAAAGTTGTAACTTTGCTTACTGTAACACCTCTTTACATTTAGAATGTGGGGTGTCAGGACAAGTTTTGGAAGTATTGCAAGGTCCGAAACAAAGAGGCTATCAAGGCTTCCACTTCTGAGAACTTGGGCAATTTGATGGTGGAGCTGGCTGATGGGTATGCCAATATGTTGTAGTCCGGTATCCGAAGATCCCATTTTTTCAAACGGGACAAAGCGTTCATGATTGGACCGCAGTTGCTTTCCGACTGCCTAGATCCAACTTTGGGGTTTCCTATATGTGTGAAGTTTGAATTCCAAGCTTCGCTACTTCAATTAGCGCAGGGACAAACCTTGCCAACCTCAGATGTCAAGTGTGCAACAAACGGGGCAGAGCAGAAAAAGAAGGTGCAAACTTACTTTGGTTGACTCATACCAGCTCTTTCTGACACCAGCCCTTTACCCTGTAAAGTATCCCCATGGGTCTTATGTTCTGTCAGCCGCGCCCGACGCAGGTGATGAAAAGGGGCCATGCTTTCATGGCCTCCCGCGGATGGCTGGATGATGAAGAGCGTCTTCCCTGCCTGCTTGTGCGCCCTACTTGACCTTTTAAATATATGCAGTGCATGCGCATGCACATGGAATATACTTTTTACGCTTTCTCTGCAGTTTTGCCGGCTGTCAATCGGATTCGAATTTGGGATTCCATACCTCTTTCAGCCATGCGCCCAGCCCATGAAGCTTTGCTTAGACGATTGATGTTCATACCCGATATCCCCAAGGACTGGGTTTCACCAAACAACACATATTCTACAACGTTTTGGGGATGTGTATTGGGGCCAATAAGTAGTATGCGTTCTTCCTGCTGCAGGAGTTTGTGGCAATTCTGATCATGGTATCCTACCTCCGCCCTGACGAGGTTGCAAAAGTTTGCAACTCACAGTTCGTGGAGATTTTTTCAGGTCGAGCAAGGACTGCTAGGATGGCATCATGGTCTGGCTTCCGCTCAAGGGCAGTTGACTTTCTTTACTCTCCAAAATTGAACGTTTTGAAGCCTGCCGGTTTCATGCCGCTAATCTAATATTGAGGTCCCTATTTGGTAGTTGATGTATTTGATGTTCACCTGTTTGATTTGCTTTCTCACATGATGGCATATCTGAGTCTATGTTTGGCTCTACTTCTCTACAGTGGCGAAGGGCTGGTGTCTTTGGTGGCGACTGAGTGTAGCACATTTGTGCAAATTAATTCTGGCACTTCCAAACGATCATGGGCACTACCAGATGGAGACCCACGAGTTGCATCGGTGCTAAGGGGAAATTGTTTGGCAGCCTGCAGCGCTTTGTTCATACTTGTCATTTGTTTACTTTTCAACACGTTTTTGTTGGAGCAGCCGGGATCATCAGTGCTAATGGGCACTCACAGGATGCAATGGCTACTTCAGGTGTTGGGGGATTTGAATATAAAGATCTATCGGCAATCATTTTGGATGGGATGCTGGGGACATTGGAGCCCAAAGCGGTCAATCATATGGTCCAATAACCCAGTAATCAGGGCTTTTACGACACATGGTTTGGCCAAACGAAAAAATGAAGAAGCTGGACCACCCACCACAGTTCGATATGTTTCCAAGAAGACCGGCAAGAGTGGCTACAGTGGGAGCCGACACCTGAAATCCACTGAGTAACTTGAATTCACTTATTCCGGATTCTCTTCTTCCTGTCAAATTTAATGGTGGGACATGCGAATCTAGTGGGGTTCTACCAGTTGATTCCCTATCTGAGGCATTACCCCCTGCGGTTTGCATCGAAAGTGATTGAGAACATCCCAGCTTTCCAGCATTTTTCTGGAAGATTCAAAAAAACACTTCAGGCGCATGCAGTTTTGGGAAACATTTATCCTATTCAGCGAAAAACATTGGAGAATGAAACGTGCTGAGAAAGTGCCAGTTCAGGGTGAACTTCAAAACCCTGTCAGGTGTCTGGCCCTCTCCATGAATGTTTCGAGCGCTTGGCATGGACCCAGACTGCTGCCTGGGATGGTGCAAATTTGAAGGAAACCATGTTTTATTTGAGAAGAAGTAAATTGATTTGCCTTCCACAAGAGTGGAAGAAATTAATTCCTGTCGATGAAGCTACTTTGAACAGCTTCTGTTCCTAGGGGACAGAGGATGTGTCTGCAGCGGATCTGTGAAAGGCACTGCGACTTGGACCATGGGAATTTCTGGAGTGTGAAAACCACATATAGAAAAAAGGAAAACTTCGATTCCAATCAGTTTTTTTTGGGCTGACCAAGACTTTCCAGAAATTTCCAGCTGATTCTCCTGATTTTGGCAGTTTCATCCTCCAAAAATGGATTTTCACTTTTTTTGCCATTTTTCACCCCGAAAACAAACGCGGAAATTACCGGAACAAACGCGGAAATCCGCGGAACAAACGCGGAAATTCCCGGAATGGATTTCAGACTCATTTTTGTGCATTTTTCGGCAATTCAAATTGAAAATAGCTCTGTTTGAATCCTGGCTCAAGGGTTGCACAGTGAACATGAACAGCAAGAGTTTTTTGTCTAGCTCTTCTACTCTAGCAGAAGGGTTGGACCTCATGGCTGCCCCTATGGAAGATGTGGTGGGGAAAAAGTTTCCTTTGGACGATGAAGAGAAAGAGTTGAAGCTTCGCTTAGAGGCTATCCCATCACTTGCCTTGATTTTTTTCCCTAACATCCCTTTCGCACTAGTTCCCAAACAAGGCGATGTCGTTGTCAGGCCCTGAACCAGGGAATCTTTGATGCCCATCGCAATGCTGCGCCCTCCACTGCGCAGCAGACCCAGGAAGATCAGGACAAGGACTTGCACTTCCATGCTGTTTTCTATGGATGTTCTTACATTCGAGACTGTTACGGTTAGTGTCAAACCAATCATTGCTTCACAAGATTAAGTCAAGCTGAATCCAATGAATTTATTTACTGACATATCATATACTGACCAAGAACCTTAAAAACTACTTTCTAGAGGTGTCAGTTTTAAAACAGTTCTGGGTTCCCACGAACATGGAAAAGGGTGCCCTGGGCACCACCAAAAAAATTACCATCTGTGAGGAGGAAGACAGGTCTTGGTCTTTTCTTTCATGACTGCCTGGCCCTTCCTTCCAGGAGTCTCCAGAAGTACGAGTAGAAATCGATCTCAGGACACCGAGTGCCAATCTCAAATCACCTCATGGAAGGGAAGGTTCTCTTTATTGTGAAATGTTCCAAAAACACATGTTTTTTTTTGGTCTGGGACACACCCCAAAAAATATCAGAGTCAGGTGCCAAAGATTAAACCTAGAAGGTGCTGCTACTCTCCCAAGCGCTGGATCCCAGGGATATATGACAAGAACACATTACACTGACCATAATATAATATAACATCATATCATCCCATAAAGTATCTTGCCATTTCATACCATATCATTTCATATCGTAACATTTCCCAGTCAATGCCTATAAAGTTTTTTCTGGGAGATCACCCATTGAGTAAAGTTCAATGAACAACATATTTGCTGATCGATTTTTTTTTGTACAGGGTTGGTCTATGTGGAGAGCCTGGCCGAGGCGAACAACAGCAAGATCGGCTACCAGGAGATGATGAGGAACCTATGGCCGTTCCGTCTCCATCCCCGTTGCAGCGTGGGAAATCCGGCATCTTGTCAACCCCAGAAAAAGAAGGTCGCTTTCCTGAGACCCAGAAGGTTTCGAGTCCAGTTGTTCCCAAGCGTTTGGAGGAACACTTTGAGGAAAACAAGGTTTCAAAGACTTTGCCACCTTTTCCTGTGGCCCTGCCTAAGCCTGCACCACAGCAGATGCCACCCCCAGCTGGGCCCCATCCGCTGAGTCAGGGGGCGATAGACCGTCGCATCCGACGGGCGATGGAGCCCAATGCAAAGGGGGAGTTTAAGGTGAGCTCAGAGGTTCGAAAGCTTTGGGAAGAAGGGAGCCGGGAGAAAGTGTTTCGGCTGTTCGCTGATTGTGGGAATGACACCGACACCTTTGTCAAACGCCATTCTGTCAAAAAAGAGCACGAGAAAGAGACTGAACTCGGAGTGTATTTCACCTTCCTCACTGAAAGCCAATTTGGCGATAGATCGGAGAAACTTCGATGAATTTCATGTTGAATTTTTCCTGCAATGCTTCAAACTTTCCAAATGAATATAGCATACTGCAGCAAACAAACAATATGTGTTTTCCTGCGGTGCTATAGGAAAGAGAAGAAGAACATCATCGCCCGTGCAAAAGCAAATCCAAAGAAGATGATGAGGTCCGCATATTGATCCCCGAAACTTCAAAACCAAGAACGGTTTGGTTCTTGTCTGCATTTGTTGAACGGTCTTGGGTCAACTTAACTTGTGGCTTTAGTGCCATGTCTGCCAGGTGGAGTGCGCAAAAGGAGGAGTGGTCTTACTACGTGGAGACTGAAGTCAGTGGCCATTCAAAGTGCCTAGCTTGCTTGCATGTAATCTTAACTCTGTTGTCTCAGACTGGCTGAACATATGTTAAACAGGCAGCATGTTTAACATTCATGGACTGACTCGATGCAACAGCTGAACCGCATATGTTTTCTGCATCGTTTTTGCACTTGTTGCATTTCCAACTCAGGGACCGGATGAAGGCTGGCCACTCAGAAAGCGCAGAGTGGGAGACTGAAGAAACCACTCTTGACATGAGCTTCGACATGGACCTACCACTGGAAGGTGGGTTGCCCACATAAATTGTGAGTCAACCAAACGCTTGTGGCAACATCTTGCCTAAATTGGTACTGGCTTTCCACAAGCTGACCAAACTCTAGAAGCATGTGTATTGTGGTATATTCCATATGTACAGTATATAAAATCCTGGTTCGAAGCTGGTCTCTCGGTATCACACATGCCACTGATCCCCGTGCACCTGCAGTTGGCGGTGCCGATGTTGTCCCTGGCGACGAAGATGGTGGTTTGCCACCTTCGGCACAGGAGACAATGAAGTTGTTGAAGCGGCTGGGGTGCCCGGAAGTCCAGGACACCACCAAACCCTCAGCCCTGCTTACGAAAGTCAGCACAGCCTTGACGAAGCGCATGGGGAAGTTGGAAGAAGTGAAAAAACTCTTTGCGGCGGGAGGTGACTCAGCCCTTGTCCGCAAGAATCTCGGAACATAACAGCCATTCCCACTGAATGCATATTGTTTCTCCGAACAAAGACTTCTAGAGCACTCTCCGGCTTTTCAGGATGTGCGACAAGCTGGAGGAAGTGTATGCCAAGCTGGATTCGCAGAGTGAGGCTCTTTCGGCTGAAGCCAATGCTGGCATTCTGGAAGGCTTCACCCAAGAGTCCAACCCTCAGCACATGTTTAAAACCAATCCTACATCACTTCAGCTCTTTTGATTTCTGAAGATATTTTAGACCAATATATAGTAAGGATCCAGCAGATAGAATATAAACCATAATTCACCCCCCAAAAAAAAATACTACATAAGCAGGTTTGCAGGCAGGAATTTCAACAGATAGAATACCGGCAGGTACGGACTAGATCCGTGTATATATATATAGGGTTTTGTAACATTTTTGTCTTAAAAAACTTTAAAAAAATATTTTTTTTTATTTTTCTATAATAGATATAATTTAGATAAAAAAATATTCTATCTGTTTGATTTGCATATATATATATATATATACGATTTGGTGAGAATTGATGCAGAAAACAACTAAAGGTATATCTTTTGTTATCCTTTTGTTTAACAAATATTCACACATGTATGCAGGTTTGAACATTTGTTTGTATGCAAGCATTGCTGGTAAGCATTTCCAGTGTATAATATGCAAGTAATATTTAATTAATTTTTGGATCAAACAGCAAGAATGACCGTACATCAACTGTCCCATGAACCCATGACAGCAAGTGTATTCACTGTATGATTAAAGACAATTGTAAACCATATTCTATATAGAGAATTGATGCAGAACACAATTAAAGATATATCTTTTATCTTTTTGTTTAACAAATATTCACACATGCATGCTTCTGACATGATCATGTTTCCTTTATATGACGATACTGGAATATTCTATCTGTTTGGTTTGCCTATATATATATATATATATGTTTTGATGAGATAGATGCAAACAAAAACTGTACAATTAGAAACCATGAACATGTGAATATGTACAAAATCGACATTACATATTATTCTCACATTATATTCACTGTATGCCAGCATTGCTGGCATGCAGGTTTGAACATTTGTTTGTATGCCAGCATTGCTGGTAAGCATTTCCAGTGTCTAATATGCAAGTAAAATTTAATTAATTTTTGGATCAAACAGCAAGAATGACCGTACACCAACTGTCCCATGAACCCATGACAGCAAGTGTATTCACTGTATGATTAAAGACAATTGCAAACCATATTCCATATAGAGAATTGATGCAGAACACAACTAAAGATATATCTTTTATCTTTTTGTTTAACAAATATTCACACATGCATGCTTCTGACATGATCATGTTTCCTTTATATGACGATACTGGAATATTCTATCTGTTTGGTTTGCCTATATATATATATGTTTTGATGAGATAGATGCAAACAAAAACTGTACAATTAGAAACCACGAACATGTGAATATGTACAAAATCGACATTACATATTATTCTCACATTATATTCACTGTATGCCAGCATTGTTGGCATGCAGGTTTGAACATTTGTTTGTATGCCAGCATTGCTGGTAAGCATTTCCAGTGTCTAATATGCAAGTCATATTCAATTAATTTTTGGATCAAACAGCAAGAATGACCGTACATCAACTGTCCCATGAACCCATGACAGCAAGTGTATTCACTGTATGATTAAAGACAATTGTATTAATGATTTCTGGTCGTATTTTATGTTTATATCGAAACATGAATAACACATGCACCAACATGTTTTGGTTGCCTCATAGGCATTACAAAACAATATTTCAGGTTAGCGATCAGGGTTCAACTTCCAACGTGTTCCAGCTACTAGCAATGGCAGATCTGAAAGAGTATTCGAAACATTGTTGTGCCTCCCTGGAGGGTATCAAAAGGAGATTTGAAGACAAAGACTATGGTGGCACATCACAAGCAGTAGAAGCGGCCAAAGAGTTTCTATCAATTGGAAAGAAAATGATGATTCGCTTTCAAACATTGAGGAAAAAACCCGAGGAGAGGAAGCAATGGATTCGAGACACTTTTGGTGGTGATGCTATCTCAAAGAAGTCACTCAATGTTCAGCAGTCGTTGCTAGTTAGCAAACTAGTCAGTCGGCAAGTTCCAGCAGTTGAAGCTTCGATTATGCAAGTTGCAGTTCGTGCAGCACCTGGTGTGACAAGCAAGGAATCACTTTGTTTGACTTATGACACATCATGCGAGAAGTTCAAGGCTGTAGTTTGCGGCGACAATGAGAACATGACAAAGATGTTCGACACTCCCAAGGAAGCTAAGGGCTGGTTGCTGAGCATGGGGAAATGTTCAGAGGCCGGGGCACAGAACATTATATATATATATATATAGATATTTACATATACAACACTTATATGTAAATATGTATGAAATATTATATATGTATATATTTAAATATATATATATAGATAAGATCTTATATATATATATTTGGTTTTGGTAGTGGTTTTGAACAGATAGAATATTATGTCAACATAATGTTCCCTCCAGGCTGGACTTCTAGCGAAATCCATGGACGCCGTGGAGAAGGTAGGTAAATCCTACGTAGCTACAGAGAAGGCACTTGATGGTATTTCGAAACAAAGTGAGGCCACATTCCAGGAAGCCGTGGAGAAGCAGTCACCAGTTGACACAGACAAAGAAATCAAGTTTGTAGATGTGACCCACAAGCTATTTGAGAAACCGGTCATTGACGAGTTTCCACAAAGCAGTGTGTGCATTTACAAGGGCATCATTTCCAACCTTATCTCTTGGGGACGTGAAGGTCAAGGTGACAAGATATGCGGTATCATGTCAGGTGATGGAAAGTCTGTATTGGATGTGGTTATTTGTACTGACTTTCAGTTGTGCATCACATCGGATCGGTTGTCGAAACGATTGAGCAATCTAAGCCTGCAACCTATGGGCCTCGTGGTGTGGGCAAAAGACTTCGACATTCAACTTCATGATTTTGCACAAACGATGAAAGATTTGAAATCACCTTACGATACACAAGTTCTTCTTGTCATGTGTGGTGGACATGACCCAAGAGTATGGGATACACATATTCAAGAGGATGGTGATGTGAAGTTCACAAGATGCAATGGTGTCAAATTCCAGACAGGTAGGAAAAAAGAAGAAAAGTACAGAGTTGTGGATTTCAGCGCGTTGTCCAAAAACACTGTTGACAACATGCACGATGCTGTATCAGCAGTGCTTCAGGATGTCTTGAAAGAAGCATTATCTAAAAAGCTGAAACCATTTGACATTCATGAAGCATCTGATCTACAAGAGCATTGTGTACCTGCTGACGGTCTGTGTTTCTGGCATAGTGTTCTAGGGTCTTTGGACTTCGATGTATGGAAAACGGTTCCTCGGAAGAACTCAGGATATTCGACCAACCAAAGGATTGTAAAGACTGAAGAAGATCGAGCACGCAAGTTCATGAAAACTACAATGGAAAGGGTACGTGATCGAGATCTTGAGACTTCTAGATGTGATGAGATTCTTGCAACTGGCTGTGTAGATGTGATGGACATCGACTTCATTGCAAAGGCTTTGGGCATTGGTGTACGGTGCACCATTTCTGATGAGGCTGAACTCGGGGAGGTGGAGGTAAGAGGATGTTTAAAAATACTATTCTTATGTATATATATATATACATATTCATATTTATATGTATATATATATATATGCATGCTCTTCAAGTATATTTAGGATATATATATATATGTCTTTTTGTATGGGAGAACACAAATTCGCACATATAGGGATCTATGATTGAAATGATTTACAAAGAAACTAAAAAGTAATACAAAATCAACAGATAGAATATTCCACTGGAGATTGGGACATGACCATCATGTACACTGATTGCTGAACTGGCTCAAAATATACCACAAAGGAGATTTGCAAATAGAAAAGATATCAATTTAGTTCTATTGATATAGCTGCAATGGCATCCGTCGTTGGCTTTGATGAAGAGAACGCCAGTGATCAATCTGCATTTGTGTGGTTTGTATCCATCCTGGTAGTGCTTGTTAGCATCTTCATCAACATCACTTGGAAGGTTTTGATCACATGTTTCCGTCGCTTTGTCAATGAGAAGATCAGCGGCACTTTGATTGACAACGAGGTGGGCACTGCATGGAAGCATACAAAGAATGCAGCTACTCAAACTTTGGAACGCTATGGATGCAATGATTTGATCGGACCAGTCTATGTGACCAGCAGTGGGGAACGGTGGCACAGGGCGCAATGTGGACATCTTCTTAACCGTCCGACAAAAATGTTTACACCATGCAAAGATTGTGCACATGGTTGATTTATGAGAATGTGTGAACATAGGTAGACACATTTTGTGTTCACTTGCTGCAACAGGCATTACTTGTATATTTATATATATAGTGTATATATATATACATATGAAATGTATTTGAATGAAAAAAACGATATGATTTGATCATGTGAAAGCAAGTGAACAGCGAGAAATGATACCTGATAAATGCGCTGGATCATACAAAAAGAGCCGCTTGGAATGGGCATGGTTTGGGAAAGGATTTGGAATTGATCCGGACTAGAAATTTCAACAGATAGAATATTTGGATGAAACACTATGTGTATATATATATATACGATCAAATTACATGTATATTGCTTGCATGCTAGCGTTGCTGGCAAGCAATGTCATATCTTATTGCATGGCAGTGTTGCTGTCATGCAATCTATATATACTATATACTTTGTATGCCAGCGTTGCTGGCAAGCAAACTATATTGGCTTGTATGTTAGCGTTGCTGACAAGCAGTGCCATATCTGCTTGTATGCCAGCGTTGCTGGCAATCAAACTATATTGGCTTGTATGTCAGCGTTGCTGACAAGCAATGCCATATCTGCTTGTATGCCAGCATTGCTGGCAAGCAAGCTATATGGGCTTGTATGTCAGCGTTGCTGGCAAGCAAGATATTGTGGCTTGTATGCCAGCGTTGCTGGCAAGCAAGCTATTGTGGCTTGTATGTCAGCAATGCTGGCAAGCAAGCCATATGTGCTTGTATGCACACATACCATCAAAACATAATACAAACATCTGTTGTTGTTCTTAGTAGTATATGTACACACACATATATATATATGTTTATATTTATATACGAACGAATGCATACTTGTTAATTTTGTTGCATTCTATTTGTAAGTATAGTTTCATGATATTATTCAATAATATATTCACATATATATATATTTCCTGTACGTGTCTGTGATATATTTAGTGCTGGTACCCAATCACTTAGCACATAAATATTTACATATTTACAATCTATATGATATGTTCTTGTTTATTGTATATATCTTAATTTTTTTAATATATGTGCGCAACACATTAGCATCCTGTGAGGCCTATGACGTGTACACAGCATCGATGCCCAACTCAGTACACAAGGATGCCATCTATGGACATGGAAGGGAATCCAAGGAGTACCTGATCCATTTGATCTTTCGCTATCAACCAAATCCGGAAACTGGTCTAGCATACGGGCACTACAACTTCTTGATGCCTACCAAGGGTGAGGATGCTAGTGCTTCGAGTGATACAAAGATCATCAAAATTCAGAAGCTGCCAGTGACAGAAGAACGCCACACAACACAGGAAAACATTCATAATTTCTTTGAAAAATGCAAAGATCATCAAAGCAAAGCTACCATCAATCCACCCAAGCAAACGGGTCCACCAAAGGCACCAGCAGACAAAGACACAACCCAGGCAAATGTTGATGCTATGTTTGCAAAATGCATAGATCATCAGAATAAGGTTGCTAAGAAAGCACCTGTGTGTGAGCCTGTGATGAAACAAGTGGTAGAACGTGACACTACCCAAAAGAATATCGATGCATTATTTGCAGCATTTCCAGGTGCTAATGTTGGACCACCACCCGTTCCACCTTCAAATTCATTACACAAAATTTGTGCTGATGAACCAGCTGCGCATGGTCTTCAAGATGGACATGAAGCTACCAAGCATGCCGGTGCTGAATCACCACCTCTTCCACCTCCAGATTCAACACCTAATCAAAGTGATGATGAATCAGCTGCGCATGGTCTTCAAGATGGACATGAAGCTACCAAGCATGCCGGTGCTGAATCACCACCTCTTCCACCTCCAGATTCAACGCCTAATCAAAGTGATGATGAACTAGCTGAGCATGGTCTTGATCAGATACATGATCGTTGTGATGATCAATGTGGTGTTGAAGCTACTAAGGATGCCAGTGCTGAACCAGCTACTACGCATACCAGTGCTGAACCACCACCTCCATCACCTACAGTTTCAGTGCATGATCGATGTGATGATGAACGAGCTGTACATGATCCGCCAGCTGAACATGACGCTACTAAGCATGCCAGAGCTGAACCATCACCCATTCCACCTACAGTTTCGGTGCACCATCAACGTGATGATGAACCAAATGCACATGACCACCAAGCTGAGCCTGAAACGACACCGATGACTGAAATTCAGATTGAAATGGAAAAGAAGGTGATCCTGGGAGATTCACATGGAAACAACTATGGAGATTCACATGGAAAAGAAGGTGATCCTGGGAGAGCAACTATGTCATTGGCTTCATCACCACTTCAAGCTTCTGGGACAGGGAGTCAAGAACAAGATCAGACACCAACCGACGTTGAATATGCACGTGTGAAATCAATTGTGGACAGAATCAGCAACTTTCAGCGCTCTAGTGGGTCCAATTTGACTTCTGAAAGTGAGGACGAACAAGCCGAAGCAAATGGTTCATTTGAAGCAGAGCAAGTTGAAAATAACAGCATCAGTTGTGATGAAGCTATTCCTGAAGATGAAGATACCAAAAGCAATGGCATAGCTGAAGATGAAGAAACACCAATCAAAAACGCAGAGCTGGCTCCAGCAGTTTCTTCACACGATATGGATTCAGCCGAGGTGGAAACTACAACACATGACACTGACACCATGGTTTCTGTTCTCAGATTACCAGGACCGGAATGTGAACGTATACTAGCAACATTGAAGTCACCGCATGATGTTGTGATGGTCTGGTGCAGCAGGAAAATCTTGGGGGAAGTGTATCTGATCAAGGGCATGGAGTCTGTTGTGCTTGGGAAGGCTTCAGTTGAAGATCAACATCGAGTATCATCTTTTGCTGAACTCAGGAAGCTAAGGTGCTTCAAGGATGCAACTCCTGACCTAAGGACTTTGTGGAAGAACAGGGTTTTGCATGAAGAGAAACAGTTGTACGTGTGGAAAATTGTTGGCATAGAACTGTTTGACAAACCTTTGTATCTACATGGATGCAGGTTTCCGAAGCATTGTCGGATTGACTTGAAGAACTTGAAACCTGCAGTTGACGTTGAACTGCCTGGTTTGGATCTTCAAGAGACGGCATTGTACTTTTTGAATCGCTTGGGAGAACAATATCTTCAACGTCTTCAAGACACTATGCAACACCTTGACAACTGTGTGATCAGGGTGGGGACAGCGTGTTCTGGAACTGACATTGCTGTAAGTGTGCTGAAATCAACAATGGCAGCCTTTTCAAAGCACTTCAACGTATCTTGGCTTAGTGAATTTGATTAGATAGAATATGTACATTTCCTTTTTACTTTCTTTATATCTTGGAGTTCAAAATCAACAGATAGAATATTAGCTGGATCCATGGCTCATCGAAAGGTAAATGTCAAAGTACAACACATTTTCTCCATTGAGCTTGAAGAGTACAAGCGAGAATTCATCAAGCAAGCACATACATTGCCTGGAAAGAAACCGAGTTTCTGCTTGTTCTCAGATGTGGCTGCGTTTGAACAAGAAACCTCATGGTGTTACACTTGCAACAAACTACATTCAACGGCTTTGGATGTAGATGTGTATTTCGTTGGACCATCATGCAAGAACATCTCATATGAGAATTCCAATGCAGCCAAGTTCGCAAATTGCTATACAAACCATGACGGATGCTCTGGCATCACATATCGCTTGGGAGTAAAAAAAGGCATTGAACTATCATGTCCAGCTGTTGCTTTCTACGAGAATACCAAGGGAGTGGCTGATGCAGTGACAGACGATGCAGGCACCAAACATCGCCCACGTATCGAGGCGACAAATATCACAAGCATTTGACATATACACATGCGCACTATCATAAACTACACATATACTAAAATTATTGGTTTATTTGAATTCATTTGGAAAACACAACAGATAGAATATTCTGATGAATATATTCACAAAGATTGTTTTCTGGTTTTTATGTTCCCTGAATCAGGTGGTTACAAAGGATTTGCAAGAATTGGGCTACATGTTTTCTTGGCAAAAACTTGATGCTCGATCATTTCTTCTTCGACAACGACGACTTCGAGTATGGGGTGTAGCTGATTTGATGTCCGAGGTCAATCCAACCAACTTTTGTGATCGTATGAAGAAAACCATTGATTCAATGTCAGGAAATGAATTGCTACAGTTCGACAAAGTTTTTGATACACACATTCCCAAGGCGCAGTTGAGCAGCGAGACCCAACGGGAAAAAATGAGAAAGGTTATTGAACAAGTGAAATTGAAAAGCTCAGATCCAGGGGCAACACCAAATGTGTTCATGGATCTTGCAACTGGAAAGGATCGAAATCCTGAGTTTGCAGAACATGTTTCAACTTGTGTGCGACCATCTCACAAAGTGTATTCCAACATTCTCGGGAGACAATTGTGTGTGAAGGAACTTTGGAATTGTCAAGGTCTTTTTGAATCTGCATTTCCGAATCCGGATGCGTTCCACACCATCATGGAGAAGCCCAGAGATGCCCAGGATTTAGCAGGACACATGCATGTTCAACGGGTTTTGGTGCATATGTTCAACATGTGGGTTTTATGTTTTCAAATATGTATATATATACATGTATATATATATTTACAGTTTAGATATATGAAATTAATATTTTCTTCATAAAACCATTATCCAGTGGAATATTCTATCTGTTGACTTTGAATCTGATTTTCAATTGAAAAGTGCACTAGACTTGTACGTGATCAATATACAAAGTTTATAGCAACACATACAAATATATAAATATATTTGTTCGTATGTATGTTTAAAACATATATACATACCTACCTACCTACCTACATACATACACACATACATACATATATATATATATACAGGTTCAATACATCAATATATATATATATTTACCTTATTCCAATATGTGGTTGCCAGCATTGTTGGCAACCATGTGGAAACTGTCAGCATTACTGCCAAACATATAGAATGTATATATATATATATCGAAATTTACATGCATACATACATATATATATATATATATTAAAACCAACCAATAGCATGTCGCAGCACGTGCCAGGAAATTCATTTGCCAGCACTACTGCGCAGGTCAATCTGATCGCTTCCCTGGTGAATGCCACTGGATGGAATACTTTGACCAAGAATGATCTCAAGATGAATTTACATGTTGACAATGCTCACAAGAAGAGAATCCATGAGGGTACATGTTCAGACCAGCAGATCAAAAAGCGAAAGCTATGTGGTTCTAATGTGGATCCTAGCAGTACAAGCAAGAAACGATCCAGTGACAATGTTTGCAGCCCACCCATTGTGATGAAACGCTGTCGAGGAAAGCAACCAGACCCTGCAAAGTCATCAGAATGGTTTGATCGAATAGTGAAGAGAAATGTTGAATCAAAAAGAGGGAGAGGGAGACCCAAAGGAAGCACAAAATCAGACTCAATTAAGGCCGATAGATCTGGCAAAAGCAGCAGCTTGACAATCCAAAAGAAAATGAATATCATTGACGAGTATGAGCGACTATGCAGCTTGGGAACCATCAAGCATGTCGAGAAATTCATGCTGCAAAATGGCAAACTGAGAGGAGGCTACCAAGGTTGTCTTAGCAAATCTAAATGGTTGGGAGCACGAGAGAAATACAAATGGGACGACTTCATCAAGTTTTGCCCCAAGCTTGCCAATCAAGTTCATGAAGTACCCAATGCATTGCTGGACGTGTTGGGGACCAACGTATCTTGATTAACATTAGATATATGTAAATATATATATACATATAGCTGCAGGAATTGAAAATTCATATTGTAGACACTTGCATAGTTATAAACAAGAATTGAATATATATATAATATAGCTATTTGAATATATATATATAGGTTTATGTTTTGTATAGAGTTACATGCATGTGACAACTTCTTAGAACTTCAACTAAGGCAGGGAAGTACAACCATGGACATTTCAAAGCTGATGGCACCACCCACAGTATTCCTTCAGCCATTGCACATGCATTTGAAATGCTGATGCTTCAAAGACAAATGCTCGGGGAGGAGAACGACCGCATCTTTGCCAGGAACTTGGTGAATGATTTGATCGAGATTTGGAACGCGAACATCAAAACTTTGAAAACCGAGTTTTCCAAGAATGTGATTGGAGTTGCTTTGAATGAATTGGAAAACAATCCTGAATCACGGAGTGAGTCGATCCAACGAGCTATGTCTGAGAGAACGCATGCAGTCTTGAAAGAGATGATGGAGGACATGAACACCATCGTGATCTCCAAGACACCTGCTGCTTTGAAGATGCTTGGCTAGACTTAATTTGGATATTTGAACAAATATTTTCTTTATAAACACATGGTCAGTGAAATATTCTATCTGTTGATTTTGAGCCTAATTTTGAAAGTGAAACATTGAAAAGAATTGAACATGATCTATCTTCAAAGTTTGTAGCAACACATACATTTTTTTACATACATACATACATACATACATACATACATACATACATACATACGTGCATATATGTGTGTATATATATATATGTACAGGTCCGATACAGCACTGTATATATATATATATATATATATATATTACCTTATTCCAATATGTGGTTGCCAGCATTGCTGACAAATCATGTACACATTGTACACACATATATTATGATTATTGAACTGTAGATGCGTGTCTATTTATGTATATATATATATATATGTAACTGTATATGTTGCAAGTTTTCAGTTTCAACCACATAAGGCTACAGACTCAGCGACTTTGCAATCGTGTTGGAATAAAGAGCCATAGCAGCCGTGCACCAGCCCGACACCTTGACAGTGCCCATCCTCAAGTTCAGGCTGTTAAGACCTTCGTTTCCAAATGTGAAGAAAATTACGGAATTGACAAGAGGCTTATCTGTAACTTTGATCAAGTTTGGACAACTATGTATGAACATCAAAAACGAGTTCTTCACAAGCCGCTGGAGCATGCTGGTGAGATGAAGCCTGCCAACAAGCCTTCTATGCAGAAGATGATCGATACCATCCGGAAAGCTTTGATGATTCAATCAGGTGCTGATGCAAGCAATGCCAGCGAATCCAAAGGATATGTTCCTGCACCTGTGATTCTAGATGCCCAGGCCAATGTGAGTCCCATTGAAGGATGGCGCTTTCCAAGGACCACAACCACACTGAGCTGGGCCGATGGTGATCTGGGGGCATCGTGGATCACAATCAAAGAGGGTGCGGCATCAGAGGAATTGGTTCAGAAGTTGAACAAAGAGCTGGAAGGCCTACTGACTATCCACATCCAGGACTCAAAGTCGCACATGTGGAATAGTTCCACGATGCTGCACTACTTACAATTTCTCACGATTCAGCTTCGCATCAAGAGATTGAAGCATGGCTTGACAACATCGTCAAAGGCATTGGTTTTTTGCGACAAAGCTGCTGTGCACGCAACTACAGCTTTTGCTTCACTACGTGCTCAGTGGGAACGTGAGAATGCTGCCATTTTGTGCAATGGCAGCAGTGCAGATTACATCAAAGTCCCTCCCGGATGGGGGGCAGTTGGAGCTCCCAACGACGGCTTCCATCAATTTTATCATCTTCTCAGGCAAAGCTTTCAGAAGGTGTCATCTGGCCAAGCCCGTTTTTTGAAGCTTCGAGCATCATTGGACCAATTGGACTTAGCAGTTGACGGATCTGTGAGATTCACGTTGCTAGACTTAACTATTTTACATATGATTTTTGATGATTTTTGTATATTTGACATTGTGATCAAATTTTATGATATATTTGTATTTATATATATTAATAATTTTCCTTTTGAAAAACAACAGATAGAATATTCCAGTCATCGAACACTCAGGAACGACTTCGAAGCCAGCATCCGCTCTGATGCATTTGCATTGAAATCTTTGAGGGATTACAAAGATGGAAAGTTGGTGCTTCATGCATGGCTCACCCGTGGCCTTGTGACTGCTTCTGACATTGCAAAATGGAGATTTGATGGTGATGAATCCAAGGTGGAAGAATTGATGAAGCACACACCACATGCTATGAATGATCTGCTTTCTTTGGAAGAAGTACCAAATGTTGGTGATGATAAGCAGAACAAGAAGCGTGTGGCTCTGGCTGAGCAAGGACCATTACCTGGTGAATCACTTTGTCGCTGGTGTGTCTTGGATATGGGATCTTCTTCAAGCAGTGCCAAGCCCGTACCATTGCCGGATTGGATGAAGATCCCTTTGGATAGAACCGTTGCTATTTGGACACAAGAAAAAACTGAATGGGACAGAAAGAAGCAAGTTCGTTTTGAGACCAAGGGCACCTATGAGCTGACAAAGAAAACAGAAGCGAAATATCAGGACAATGGTTGTCGATATATGTATATGTTTGTATTCCCAAATGTGTGTTTTGTTTGATTTGCATACATGGCGTTGTGATTATCTATCTATCTAGAATCTATATATATATATAACGTGAGGTAAACATAGTTATATATATATATTTACATATTCATTCATTCAGATAATACAACCAGTTGTTTGCATATTTGTTTTCAAAAAGTTTATGTTTCCCTGTGAGGCTTGGGTCAAGAATGCAGCTTTCCGACGCATTGTTCTCAACAAAACACGTCAATCACAAGTGATCAATCTGCACAATAAGAGTTCGAGATATATCACCAAGGAATGCATTGTGTTGACTGTGGAGATGGCTGATGATCCTGCAGGGCTAAAGGTTCGTGCCGGCAATGGCAAGATCTTCAAGCTTTCTTTGATGGAAGGAATTCAACCCCCCAAGCACATCCCCAAGGAGATTGATGTTGTACCAGGAGACTTCATTATCCTGAGTCCTACATGGTCTTGTGTTGTTAAGTTTATGTTGTGTGCACATGTATTGTATATAGCTGTTCTATTGTGAATATAATCAAAAAACAACAGATAGAATATTCCACAAACTACAGCTGCTTGGTGTATGCCAGCTTTGTTGGCAAACACTGTTGATTATTGAATTAGGTTTGGTGGTTCCCGATTTGTTTGATAATATGTTTATGTATGTGTATATGTGTTAAACTGTTGCTTTTTTTTTTGCATTCTATATGCATATACTGTTCAAATTCAACAGATAGAATACTGAAGGAGCTCAAGAGATCGAGGATGCGATCGCAGATCACAAGGATGCAGAGGTTGATGTGGACGAAGAAGAACAGCTTCGGAATCAACACGAAGGTCAAGATTTTGACTACCATGATGACGACGATCAGAATGAAAACCAGATCCCAAAGGACTTGGATGGCTGGTGTTGGGCATGCTCTGAGTCAGAGTCTGATCTTGAAGAAGGTGATGACAAAACATGCAAAGCATCTAAGGATGAGGTTCAGACAGCAAATCATCATCATGATGGTGGAACTTCGGGGATCCAGCGTATGAGGGTAGCAGAGACGAGGGAGGAATACATCGAGTGCAAAGAAGCTGGTTTACTTTTCAAACCGGCAAATTCGACCCTTGGAGTTCACCCGGCATCACGTACATGGCGTGCTTCGTATTGTGACAGCAAACATTATGGACGGACGTGGGGAACCAATCGATCACCAAAGAAAGCTCTTTTGGAAGTTCTGAAATTGATTTTGGAAGATCACATCAATCTGAACAAAGGAGACAAGATTGCCAAAGGCCAGTTAGCCAGAGTGACAAAAGCCTGGAACGATGCCTGATCAACTAGAGTGACGAAAGCCTGGAACGATGCCTGATTGACTGACACATACAATTCGATCAATTCGATCAAAACGATCCCAATGTTTTTGAGTTGCAGCCAAGCTGTCAGTGTACACAACGTACACGAACATGTACATTACGATAGTTTGATGGGGTTGTTCAGCAATTGGTTCGGCAGATAGAAAATCAAAACAATATGTTGGGATTCAGTTGCATTTTTGGAAAGATAATATTTATATTTGTTTATGCTGTATATACCTAATTGTGTGCAAAGAAATTCCATATATAGCAATGTATGCTGACTGAATATTCTATCTGTTGGATCGCACTGCTGGACGCAGCATGGCTGTCAATCATTTCCGTGTGCGGTCATTGAATTCAAATGTTCAAAACCACTAAAAGGGTGGTCCAATTTGAATTCACAAGTTTGGACAACAAAACTAAAATCCAAAAGAAATAAATCACATAAATATATATATATAGTCATAAACAGCTGTAATCTTTACCAACGATATATATATATATATGTGTGTTTTACTTATTTCTCTTGAATCACTATATGTAGGTACCAATCAATTTTGGATATGATCATTGAATGAAATTGTCCAAAGAAACTACAAGACAAATGTGGTCAAATTTGGATGCATGAGATTTAGCATCAAGACTGAAACCATTTGAAAAGAATCGGTGAAAAAATGTGTGGCACAGTATGTTTGCTGCCAGCTGTTGGCTTAGTGTCTTTTGTGTAAGTTCTGCTGTCGTGCCAGCGTTGCTGGCTGACAGTGCTTGCTGGTGTGCCAGCATTGCTGGCTGCTAGTTGCTTTCGTTCTGCTGTCGTGCCAGCGTTGCTGGCTGACAGTGCTTTCTGGTGTGCCAGCATTGCTGGCTGCTAGTTGCTTTGGTTCTGCTGTCGTGCCAGCGTTGCTGGCTGACAGTGCTTGCTGGTGTGCCAGCATTGCTGGCTGCTAGTTGCTTTGGTTCTGCTGTCGTGCCAGCGTTGCTGGCTGACAGTGCTTGCTGGTGTGCCAGCATTGCTGGCTGCTAGTTGCTTTCGGAGGTGGTGCAAAACACACACATACATACATATATACATATATATATATATATGTATACATAGACATTGCTGATCGTTAGCATGCATAATATTATGCCAACATGTTTGACTAGATTTCGTGTGTCACACGGCATTGAATGTTGAAGTACTTTGCATGCAGAGGCTCAAACCAGTATGTGTTGGAAATAATTGGGAAACCAAAACATATATATATATATTGATGTGTTGTTATCATTATTTTATCAGAAATTTGGGAAATCAATATATATATATATATATGTTGGTTGTTTTTTCAATACATTTTCCTTTTCACAAACGACCAAAATCAACAGATAGAATATTCCACAAAATCACTACACACATATTTACATATGAGCTGCATACGTGCAATTTACTGCAAAACATATCATCAGCGACCGGTCGCAATGGTGTTTGCAGAAAAATGGCTTCCTACACCGGGAAATCAACGGGAACAGGAGTTGAGAAAGTTGAAAGATAAAAAAAACATTCGAGAGCGCCTTAGAAAGAACAAGAAGCTGGCAGAAGCAGATCGTATCCTGCTAAAGAATGCAAATGCTTGGGTTGATGATAGTGCCCAACCACCGGAGACTGCACCTAAACTTGAAGAAGGACATGCTGACAAAACCATTATGGTTATTTTTCAATATCTTATTCCATTGTGTATCTTCATGGGCATGTGCATGATGAATTTGGTTTGACAAAATTATTTCATACATACATACATACATACATACATACATACATACATACATACATGCATGCATGCATGCATGCATGCATACATACGTACGTATATATATATATATACATACATACATACATACATACATACATACATACATACATACATACATACATATAGACAATGTGTGCACCCATAACTAGTGCAACCCCCTGCAGGAGCTAGCGTCACAGCAAAAGAACCTGTGCAACATCCTGGCAGTGCATCTCCAGATGATCGTGTGACATCAGCTAGTTCATCAGGACCAAACGATATAGATATATATATATATATATGTATGTATGTATGTATGTATGTATACAGACTCATTTGTGTGTATATATAGACTTATTGAGATGTGTTTTTCCATGATTCTTGAATAGAAACATTGACAATAGAATATATGGATTCCCTGCAGGAACACAGCAGACTACAAAAGTTGAAGACAATGGCACTACAAACCATGATAAGGCTATAAAAGTCGAAGGCAATGACACTACAAACCATGATGAGGCTACACAAGGTGGGGACAATGACACTACAAAAGTTGAAGACCATGGCACTACAAAACACGATGCAGAAGCAACTGTCAATACAAATGACAACGACGACGAGCCATATGTGCTTACAAGCGAGGCTGAATCGGAGCAAGGACTGTATTGTTTATTTGTATATGTAAAAAAATGTGGATGATAAGTTGAAACTATTTAGTTTCTACTTATAGTTCACAGCTTCAGAGATGTTGTACATTCCCTGCAGGAGACATGGAGGGAGATGAGACGCCGGCTCCACCTGGTTTCAAAGTCGAGACAGCTGACTTTCCAGGACACAGTTGGTGAATTGTGTTTCTACAAATACGTATATGATATATGTGTATGTATTAGCATATAGTCAAATGAAAGTCAACCATACAGGCGACATTGAACCAAAGCTAGGACTGTATTGTTTATGTATGTATATATATATATATATGATAAGTTAATTATTCGGTTTCTACCTGCAGTTCATAGCTTCAGAGTTGTTCTGCATTCCATGCAGGAGACATGGATGAAGATGCTCCCATTGGTTTCAAAGAGGAGACAGCTGACTTTCCAGGACACAGTTGGTGAATTTTGTTTCTATATATACTTATATGTGAATGTGCTAGTATCTAGTTGTATGAAAGTCATGAATCAATATATATATATGTAATTTTAGTTTCAACATGGAAGTATGTATATTTTCATATATATATATATATTGAAATCTTAACCATTGCTTCCAATCATTGATTATTTCTTTTCCATGTAGGAGGCACAGACACATTGTTGCTGAATGATTGAAAAACATACAAGTTAGAGTTCAAAACGTAACCAGAACATACTGATTCAAACACATGTACATATGCTTATGTTGAGTTGTATTTATATATATTTACATTTATGTATGTGTTTGTGTTTCTGTTTATGTGATATATATATATATATCAATTGTCAAATTGAAGCATTTAGTTCTCACTATGCTACCGTTCATATCTTGCAGGAGATTCCAACGAAACCATTACAGACTTGGACCGGTTGATCAAAGGTAGCCCTACATCTCCTGCTGACAACGGCAAAGAGACGGCAAAGGACATGGTGATGATTCCTCCTGCTGACAACGGCAATGGGACGGCAACTGAGATGGTTGTGATTGACGTTCCGAAATCACCTGACAATGTGAAACAAAAGGTTCAGAAGAAGGACAAAAAGGTCAAAAAGGACAAGAAGGACAAGAATCAGAAAAAGAATGATCAGAAGAAGAAGGATCAGAAGAAGACCAAGGAGAACAAGGATGACCGCAGAAAGTATCGAGATGTGCGCGACATGCAGTGAAAAAAAAGGATGAACTGACGTGAGGTGGATTTGTTGATCTGGGTCATATGTGAATTCTGTTCAAAAGGCAATTAAAAAAGGGTCCAAAATCAACAGATAGAATATTCCAGTGGATCATCTCCCACACAAACTAATCTTATGTTACAGTATGAGTGTGTTTGATGGTGTGCCAGCTCTGCTGGCTACCATCACTGATTGGAGTCTGGTTGTTGTGTTTCATGTGATGCTCAACTCAATTTGAATAGTTTCTTAACTTTATATTAATTCCATATATATATAACATATTATATATACATATATGTATATATATATATATATATTTCAAAAATTGAATAAATTCATTGGGTTTTTCTACTAAAAACGATATATCTACGTATAATATATTGATATTTTTGATTAGTTTCTTAGAATATTATTTTATATATGTATATTTCAAGTTTGAAGAGTTTCTTTAATTTTCTTTCAAAAAAAATGTTTATACATATGATATAATGATATGTTTGCTTAGTTTTCTCAATATATATATATATATTAAGTTTGAAGAGTTTTCTCGAGTTTTATCATAAAAAAACAATGTATTTGCATAGGATATGTTCATAATTTTGATGATTTTCTTAAATTTATACATTCCGTATTCTATCTCTTGATTCCCACCTGCAAAGCGAAATCCGTATTCTATCTCTTGACCATATCTTTTTTAATATTCTATCTGCTGGATCCTTACTATATATATATATTATATTATATATATATTATATATATATAGAATCAAGAAGCTCAGCAATCTTCAAAAACTGTAGGCCACAAGCTCTAAAGTGAGAAATGCGCGCGCTTTCTGAGGAAGGAGACCGCCTTGAAAGATATGGTGGACAGTGCCCGAAGCGCGCTAGGCCCTCATATGTCCACTGCACTGCTTACAGGTAAAAAGCTTTGCCCTCAGTTGCTTTTGAGGTTGCTGGAAGCTTTCAATTTGGAGTCAAGAGCCAGGACCGAATGCACGATCATTGCACCTATTTATATTCACACTTCCCCAGGCTAACTCCGTTGTTTTTTTTGCGGGTTCTCAAGCTCCTATAGGGGTTCCTAAATTCACACACCTGTCAGGAGCATCGCGCCCAAAGCGGTGAGCGCCAAGCGCCCGCCGCCTTCGAAGAGTTCCAAGGCGAAGGCAGCCCCGAAAGTGCCAGTTCCCAAGCCTGCTGAGGACACGCCCAGCAAGACACCAAAGAGAGCATCAGTGGCAGTTCCAAAGGAGACTGGTCCCAAGAAACGTCCCCGTAAGTGAATTGAAAAGTCAATCACTTCGGCTTGGCAATTTTGACTTTGGCAGAAAAGATGTGATGACATCAGGACAACAAAAGGACCGCTGTGCCAAAACATGCCTGCACTCAGTTCAGTTTGTCCTGGATTTCAGCGCTGATAATTTTTAAATGGCTGACCCCAGTCAAATGAATATGGTGAGAATTTCTCAGAAGGCAGGTGGCAGCGTCTTTTGTGAGCCAGTCTTTCGTTATCCATCTTTGCCAGGTGAGGAAACTTCTCGACAAAAAATGTTAGAAGTCTTGGCGGATGAGATTGGTGACGGTGTCTGGCGCTTGGCCCTGGTTGTTGCTGAACCTGCAACCTTCCAAACTCCTCCATTCTTAAGCGGCTCAGGCCCCAGCTTGCCGAGTTGGAACTATGGCCAGAGCAGCAGTGGCCGACGGTGCGCCCAACGTAGGCAGCCTGTATGCAGCCACCAAAGTGCATCCAAGTCATGGAGAGCGAGATGCTCATCGACTTCTCAACAAGTACTGGCTATCTTTAAGGGTACCCATCAGTGAACTGACCATACCATTGGATGATGGCCAAACGGTGTCCATCCCACACTACAAGGTCTTCATGGGTTATGAAGCACTAGTTCAAGTTTTGGGGTATTGAAATGCTGGAGAACATTCTTTGATACAAACCTTTGTCTCCGAAATACTGAAACTATTCTGATGTTCAACCATACCGTGAACATGCTTGGACATGCAGTCTTGCATGTATTGTTCAACCTCTGGAACCCTGCAGGTTACTGACATGGCTGGACATCTGTTGACGAAGCATCCAGAAATTTTGTTGGGTGGGGATACGCTTGAATCTGGCGAATCCCGGTGCAAGTCGTTTTGGGAGAAGTTCCGCGACCACCAACCAGACCACAAAGTGTTTCAACAGTTTGTTGACTTCCGTCGGGTGGTGCCAATTTGCATCCATGGTGACAAAGGCCGTACTCTCAAAAAATCCCCCATAGCATGCTACTCATGGGAGTCTGTGTGGGGCCTACCTGCTGGGCTTAGGGACACGGCAACAGAACCTGTCCTCAACCGGCGAAACCAGCAGAAATATGACACAGGCCACTTGGGGGTCACGTGCTTAGAGCGGTCAACATCGTCGAATGGTGGAGGAACGTATGACGATGCTGACGATGCCTGCACCATCAAGCGGCGGCGCCTGGGCCAGTGCGGTGAGTATGACACTCACAATTCATTGGGATTCCTGGCTGGTTTGTTTGTGCATGTAAATCCAATGTCCTATAAGATTAACATCCCCTTTCTTCTCCACCAAAGTGTAAAGATCATCTCTAAGATCTGCAATTGTTGCTAACATGTTGGCTATTTGGTTCAAGTGGTGTTCAAAATAATTCAACCAAATTTTGTCAGTCGTGCCTCTGTGTGTTACCCCCCCTTCATCATCAAGGCCATCAACCTACTCATCATCATCATCATCCTCATCATCTTCTTCTTTTTCTTCTTCTCCGTAAGCATCACCATTATCATCATCAACATCACCATCCTCATCACCACCACCACCACCATCATCATCATTCTCTCACCGTCACCGACATCACGGCCATCACTAACATCATCACCATCATCATCATGACCCTAGAGTCAAAGGACTCCCTAATACAAATTTACATCGCCCTTGGTTTGCTGTGCTACCCCAGGACACTCTTTCTTGAACCGGTACCTCTTCACCTGCGTTCCATATGCTGTCTACAGCTTGGACAGTTACACCGTACTTAGAACAGTCCTCAAGGAGTTGGGGTCGCAACTGAAGAGTTTGTTTTTGGACGGTGTGGAAGTGAATTCTACCACGTACCACTTTGCCCTCATAGGTGTGAAGGGGGATGCAGAATTCCATGTGGAAGCTGGAGAATTTTGCCGTTCATACATGACGGTTGGAACAGCCAACAATTTACAAATGTGCCATGAATGTGAAGCTGACGACAACTTTGGCGATGTCTCTGACAACCCCAGCTGGTTGAACACAGTTGCTTAACTCATTCTATAGTTCAGTTTCGTAGTTGCCCACCATTTGTTTTGATTACTTTTTGCCCCAAAGGCATGAACATCAGCTCTGCACCTTCCCATTCTGCCGGCAAGGTTGGAGCATCAGTGCCTTGGAATCCAGATGAGCCACCACCATTGATTTCCGTGCCGTACAGTGACCAGAACCCTGCTAGTCTGTACAAGAGAGACATGTTTCATGTCGTGAAACATGGAGTTGGAAGGGAAGCAACAGCGTCTTTATTGCTTCTTCTGTCTTACCTGCTGTATTTCGATTTTCCGGGTGAAACAAAAAATTTACCCGACAGACTCAGCCGTGGTTTCTCTATGTTCAAACTTTGGTGCGAGACTCACAAGAAAACGCCATCTTTGAAGAACTTCACAAAAGCAAATTTGCATTTTGACAAGCAGCGATCATTTCCATACATGGGTGGCAAAGGTTCAGATTGCACCCTGGTTTTGATGTGGTTAGAATTCTTCATCCGCTGTTGCCTTCTGGACATGAAAGGGGACCACAAAGTGTTGTTGACTGCTATGTTGCAGCTGTGCCAGGGGCTACTGAACTTTCTAGGGATCATGCATGGACATGACTTGTGGCTTCCAAGAAGCTGCGCTCAGTTCATGATGAAGCAAGGACTTCAGGCATTGAGGGCATATTCGTTCTGTGCCCGTGAATGTTTGGGCATTAACCTAAGGTTATTTTGTATGCGCCCCAAGTTTCACTCTTTAGCCCATACAGTGTTTGAACTACGGGCCGCTGTCAGGGGGAACCACCAATTTATTTTGAACCCATGCATCTTCAATTGTGAACAGAATGAGGACTTTATTGGGAGAATAGCTCGAACCTCACGTCGGGTTTCAACCCGCCTGACAATATACCGTACTTTGCAACGCTATGGGGTAAGTTTCCAAAGCCGCTTGCGGCGAATGAGACAAAGGAGAAGGACCCATTGAAAATGTTTACTGTTGTGTTGTGTGTATACCCAACTAAATTTTAAATTTGGGGATGACATGTGCAGCATTCAAGACCCCTGTCGGTTCATGACGGTTGGAACCATATATATAATTGGATCATTACAGTTCATTGTGGGACCTATTAGCTTTATATATTAAATTAAAGCCTGTATAATGGGAGGACATAGGGTTTTGGACATTATCTGCATGATGATATATGCAAACCTTCTCCATGGTATGCCAGACCCCTGAGGGGCAGGCATTTCAGCCGCAGAGGATGGTCGGATCAGGTTTTTGGTCATCTTGATCAAAAAGGCCGTGCGCACAGAAACCCAGCAAAGACCTGTTTTGGAAACAAATACGTTTTTATATAAACAAATGCGTTTTTTGAGCTGAAATCGTACGAATACAAAAAAAAACGCAGACTTGGGATATCTAGGTATATATATATATAATATATATATAATATATTACAAATGATCTGTAATAGATATAACTAAAATACTCTGGGGAAACATGGATAAAGGTCTACATGAATATCTATATATAATATATAGCAGTCTACACACAAAAAAAATGTATGTATATATATGTATGTATATAGATGTATACATGTGGTAATTATCAATATTATTAAAAGGACAGTTAAGGAATTGAATGTATATAAGTTGAACAATAATTGTATATATATATATATGAATTTATGTATAAGAATATATTGTTGTATGTATGCCAATAAATCATTATATATGTATATCAATATATGATTATACGTAGTTTCATGTAGGAATGAATAGTTTGGAGATTATCAACTAAGCCAATATCTTAAACACTGCTGATATATCGGGCTACAGTATGGGTCATTTCTTCAACTGGCAACCACCATGAGAATATCTGTTAACTACACATTAAACAAACATCAACCAAATAACCAGGGATCGTAAAACATTTAAGGAAAATTGGACGTACTCAATGTTCAACTACTCTCAGGGAGATGTTCCATGCGCATGCGCATGCCAAATCACTAGAGTATATCCACTCTCATTCTCAGAAAACAACCAATGGAAGTAGAGTTTCCCATTGTCAAGATCAAAAACATCTTCCTGTGAGGCAATATCATGCAATATCACTCTCTTGATCATTGCAATATCCTGCTATAGTATTCAAAAAAGTACAGTAACTCATAGAACATGAGAGAACAATATAATGACGGGACGCCCCGGTTGAATCTTGGGATTCCCTCGTTCTGCAGTTATGGCCATGGCTATTAGTTATAACTGGTTACTTCAAGAGGATTATAGATTCCATGAATGGGGTTGTAAGATGTTATAAGTACTTATAATAAGTATTATAATTATAATATCGAATAACTGGTATTTCGGGCCATAAGTATGGTGAACGGTCGAGGAAAACAAACAATCACCTTCAGTAAAATGGAACAAAGACTGGTTGGTGGTTCTAACCATCTTGAAAAATATGAAAGTCAATGGGAAGGATTATCCCATATATTATGGAACAAATGTTTGAAACCACCAACCAGAAGAGTGTATTTCCGCAACAAAAAAATCTGCTGCAATCATCCCGACTCTTCCCCACCTCTCATTGATCTGCAGCTTCAAGCGACATGAGGCGTGGATGGTTGACACTTGCACCTCGTTTCGGGAGACGACCAAGGAAGTTGAGCAGCGTGCTGTACCGTCTGGATGTGTTGCTATCAATGAGTTGTTTTGCAGGATCCCGGGATTATGGACCAACAATATCAGGGGTCAAATTGGTTCAATCGTATCTAAGCGACGGAAATCAACATAATGACCCAACCTCTGCGGCAAGGGAAGTCGTAAGCAGTGAAGTAGAGACAACCTGACCAGAGTTTGGTGAGCGCCAAATCGATTAGGGTCCAAATGCTTGGGCTACCCGTAGTTTGCCTACAGTCTACACATATAGTATATATCATATATAAATATAGTATCATATAGTCCACTAGTTACATAGTTGGATTCGTTTAAAAAAAATTAAAGATGTGTTGAGTTCTTCACGTATTGGTGGATGAGGGTGCGAGAATTCCAGGGGCTGCAGGGGCAACACAGAATAGAAACTACAATGAGAACCATAGAATTGGATGATGGGACAATTTACAGGAAAACCCTATATTTGATGGTAAAAGCCATGGTTTCCTGTAGATTTTCCCTTAAACCAATCCAGTGAGAGAATGCAAAGTTGACAAACTCGCGGTATGGGTACTTGTTCGTTCACCCTGGTACCGTGTTCATAGCATTACCAATCAGCTAGTACCAGACGGGATACCGGCATGTTCCTCCCCTTTTCGATCACTAGCCCAACAGGTATCCCCACCCCCACCGGCAAATAATATTTTAAGACCCCGTTTTCAAGAATGTGCTCGGTTTGATGTTATTTCTTTGATGCATGCCAAAAGATGCATTAAACTACTTACAGTATATAAACCAATCGCGCATAGTATTGAACCCAACAACAACAACAACAACACAAGCAGCAACAACAACAACAACAACAACAACAAGCAACAACAACAACAACAACAACAACCAACAACCAACAACAACAACAACAGCAGCAACAACAACAACAACAACCACAACCACAACCACAAACAACAACAACAACAACAACAACAACAACAACAACAGCAACAACAACAACAACACCAACACCAACAACAACAACAACAACAACAACAACAACACACAACAACAACAACACACAACAACCAACAACAACAACAGCACAACACAACACAACCAACAACCAACAACAACAACAACAAACAACGACAACAACAACAACAACAACAACAACAACAACAGCAGCAACAACAACAACAACCACAACCAACAACCAACAACCAACAACCAACAACAACAACAACGACAACAACAACACCAACACCAACACTTCCAGCAACAACAGCAACAACAACAACACGAACAACACTAACAACACCACCAACACCACGATACAATCAAACAAACAAACAAACAAACAAACAAACACACCAACAAACCGACAAACCAACAAACCAACAAACCAACAACCAACAACCACAAACAACAACCAACATTAACCAACAACAACCAACAACAACCAGCAACAACCAACCCAACACCAACACCACCACCACCACCACCAACAACAACAACAACAGCAACACCAACAGCAACAATAACAGCAACGGCAATGGCAACGGCAACAGCAACGGCAACAGCAACAATACCAACACCAACACCAACAACAACAACAACAACAACAACAACAACAACAACAACAACAACAACAACAACAACAGCAGCAGCGACAACAACAACAACAACAGCAACAACAACAACAGCAACAACAACAACAGCAACAACAACAACAGCAACAACAACAAGTCAGGAACAGCAACAGCAACAACAACAACAACAGCAACAGCAACAGCAACAACAACAACAACAACAGCAACAGCAACAGCAACAGCAACAACAACAACAGCAACAGCAACAGCAACAGCAACAACAACAACAACAGTAACAGCAACAGCAACACCAACACATAGTGAGAAAGTTACATAGCAACAGCACAGCAGCAACAGCATGTGAGGTGATCCTCTGAGCCATCCTCTTCCCCTCCTTTCCCTTCAATTCACGACCAGAAGCACTGCTGGAAATGCCAGTTGCCGTTGTAGACTCAAATATGACTGACATTGTGGTGTCACTGTTAACCGTGGGAGTCGTGGACACGGTCTGAGTGGCCCCAATGATGGTGTCGCTTGTACTTTGCAAGCTGATCGCTGTGTGAGTTGTGGGAGTCGTGGAATTCACAGGGTTGTTTTGTGTAGAGCTAGAGCTGGTTGAACTGGTTGAGGGCATCGGGTTAGCTGTGGGCGCAGGGCTGGAAGTTTCTGTGGTGCTTGTCGTGCCACTGCGGGAAGTCTCTGAGGCAGTTGTAGTGTCTGTCCCAAGCGGGGCAGTGGCACTGCTGTTCGTTTCCTCCAGGTGAATGGTGGAGGTTTCATTGGTGCCAGTTGTGGTCCCAGCATCGGTGCTAGTGGAAGGCGAAGAGGAACCATCGATGGTTCCGGAAATGGTGTAACTTGTGGAAGTTGCGTTGGTGGTTGCGATCTCGCTGGTGGAACTTGTGTTGGTGGCTTCAGTCGTTTCTGTGGCTTCAGTCGTCCCTGTGGCTGTGGTGATTTGGGTGCTGGTAGTGGATCCAGAACCCCTAATCAAAGATGTGGTGGCTGTAGTAGTGGTGGTGCTTGTGATAGTCGTGGTGGTCGTGGTGGTTGTGGCGGTTGTGGTGGTTGTGGTTGTGGTTGCGGTGGTTGAAGTGGATGTGGTAGTTGTGAAGGCCGTGCTAGCTGTGGTTGTGCTGGTTGTAGTGCTTGCGGTGGTTACAGTGCTTGTGGTGGTTGTCGTGGTTGTGGAGGTCGTAGTGCTTGTGGTGGTCGTAGTGCTTGTGGTGGTTGTAGTGCTTGTGGTGGTTGTCGTGGTTGTGGTGGTTGTACTGGTTGTGGTGGTTGTGGTAGTCGTGGTAGTTGTAGTTGTAGTGGTTGTTGTGCTTGTTGTGGTTGTGGTAGTTGTGGTAGTTGTGGCGATATACCTCGGTGGCGTAGCAAAACAATCATCATGTGTTTGTCTGACAAATTGGGTACTCCACTGGTTCATCATCATCATCATCATCATCATCATCATCATACCCATCATCCCATGGCCATGAATCAGGGTATGCCCATTTTCAGACGCATCCATCCTGACCATCACACATCCATGAGGGGGCATAAGAACATGAACATGGGAAGATTCACCATAACATATAACCATATCAGGGCCCCAGGGCCTTAAATGTCAAGGGTCACACCTAGTTGACTGCGCCGTGTCAACTTCTTGTGATAAACACTGCAGAGTATCCGTTTGTCAAAACGGAGCAGTTCTCAGTCCGATTACTGACTGTCAGAGAAGAACATAGCTTGAACATCTTCTGAGTGGTGGTTTCAATCCATCTCACAAACATGGAGTCATTGTGGATCATCATCTCAAGTATGATGGACACACCATTGGAAAACAAGAAAATACCTCTCTGAAATATGTTTAGTTCATGATTCCAAGATCATGAACAGAAGACGATCCAAACTGCAATATGGCAATGGGTCAAAGCACCTGGGCCACCCGCAAGATATGCTTATCCTTTTTAAAAACTCGGAGATTTGTATGAATTTTCAGAAACATGGACAATCAATATCAATCAATAATAATCATAGTACTATATCAAAAAACAACCACATGGTAATAACATGTAAGAACACTCATAATAGATAATATCCATCCTTTGCACATAGAATTCTGCAATCATTGAATGCTCAGTTCCAGGATTCGTTGTTTCCATATTAGGGTCACTAGCGCTCCGATTGAGAAGCGCGTGACGTTTTTTGGATGCCATCAGAAGTTCTGGACTCCCCTGGATTTCTGGCCCATGGCTTGACTTCCGCAGAATCCATTCTTTCAACTGATGTTTTCTTTATTGGAAATAACATAACATGCCTGGTTGGTGGTATACTTATACCCCTCTGAAAAATCATGGAGTTCGTCAGTTGGGATGGTGACATTCCCAATATATGGAAAAATAGCAAATGTTCCAAACCAGCAATCAGACATGCGTGTTTTTGTCCAATCAGAACCGTTCCCCCCAGATCCCCAAACTTTGGGTCAAAGCTTCCAATTGTCCGCGGCCCAGGAATAGCTGCAGCTGACGGTGAGTTCAGGTTGCGCCCATTCGCTGGCCTCGCGCGAGAAGAAGTTCAGATTCTGATCGCTGTTTGCCGCAACCTGGTTGGGGAGGGCTGGATCAGTTGTACAATGGGGTGGTGCTTTGACCATGGGCTTTAGCTCAACCCATCCCACAAACGGTATATGAATGGGTCGATTGGGATGATCATTTGAAATCACCCGACTGGATCAAAAAATTGTGATCTTGATCCCATACTAGGGCCCCTCAAGACATAGTTAAGTTGGTTTGTAAACTCCATTACAGTAACTATAATTTCCGCAATGATACACAGTGAAATACTATATATACTGGTTGGTGGTATACCTACCCCTCTGAAAAATCATGGACTTCGTCAGGATTTTCTGAAATTCCCAACTGAATGGAAAGTCAGAAAATCCATTCATGTTCCAAACCACCAATCAGTATACAAATCTATATAGTTATCTGCACCAACGTCCAACAAACTGGGGGGGATCACCTTGGCTTCGTCCCAAGGAACCGTGTCGTCGGGCTGTATCCAAATGGACAGCGCAGAGTTCAGGCTCCACCAGTCCGTCCTGAGGCGCGCGTGATTCCTGGGAGCCCTACAGTTATGGCCATTTATTAGCTTTAACTGGTCTGGTTGGTGGTATCCCTACCCCTCTCAAAAATCATGGAGTTCGTCAGTTGGGATGATGACATTCCCAATATGATGGGAAAGTCATGATCCATTCCATGGTTCCAAACCACCAAGCAGTGGTTATTTCAATGGGATTATACGTTCCATAAATAACCATTGAAATGCCCATCGAAATAATCCCATAATCCCATAATGTAAAACCAGTATTTAATCCCATATTAATAACTGGTATCTATAACCCCAATCCCATTGATCACCAGGTTATAGATACCAGTTATAAATGGGATTTTACTGCTGATCAATGGGATTATAAGTAACTGGTTAGATCAATGGGATGATAAGTATATCTATAACTGCTATAACTCGGGCAACGATAATCCCATTGAATCATCCCGATGAATCCAACCAACGGTCAGTGTAGGTGGAGCTATCCCATGGTATCCTCCTAGGATGTAAAATCCCATGGTTGGTGGTATATCTACCTACCTACCCCTCTGAAAAATGTGACGAATCGTCAGTTGGGATGATGATTCCCAACTGGATGGAAGGTCATGAAATTCATGTTCTGAACCACCAACCACTACGTGTTGTTCCCTTTTTGGAGGTAACATCACCGTGTTTTTTTGTTGTTTCATTGGACTCCCCAATTTCTTTCAGCTTCACGTCCCTATTTGAGTATCGATCAGTCAAAATATCACCCCGAAATAATTGGATGGTTTCTGGCTTTCTTGGGATATTGAAATCTTGAACCAGACCCATTTCTTGCTAGCAGGTATCTGGGAATCATAAACTATAAACCATCAAATGTGGGAGTAGATGATGAACATTTCAGCCCAGGAAACCAGGAAATCCCATGAAACCTATAATACTATAGTCTTTATTTACTTGCCATAAACATCCATAAACCATGAGTAAAAGAAATCCAGTCATCTGCGCCAGGGTTGGCGACACCAAGGCACACATCCAACGTCACCTGTAGGTTGGTCTCCGCCGACGTCACCGTCAGCGTGCGACGCGTCAACGGCTCAAAGCTGGGAAAGCTGCCTGGGCGATGGCAATGGAGGTTGGGAAGATGCGCCAACCGTTTTTTTCTCGGATCTTAGATAATCCATAATCATTAGATAATTGGATAAATTAGATAATTGGAATCCATAATTATGGAATTAGATAATCAATGTTTTTTTGTTTTGGAATGTATCTGGATAACTCTCAGTATTATAGTGCCGTAATTTGTAGTTATATATAAGATAATCTATATGTTTTTGTGAAATATAGATTATCTAATAAGAATAAATTATTATAGTTCCACAATTCACTGACCTCAAACAACGCTATTTGGGGATCATCAGTAATCATCATTGTCAAATTGTCAATGATCATTATCATCAGCTCTGCAACCGAGACTATCAAACTATCATGAAAAACAGCGGAATGCTTCGCGTTGGTATCAGCTGCAGGCTGTACTTCGCAAGCAAAGCATCTCCTTTAATGAGAACAAAAGGTTGTATGTTGTGTTTCATTAGCAATTTTTGAACCATTACACATGATGTCATGCTTCTGAAGGTTTGAAATGGCCTTCATAGATAATCTTTGATTTCCTTGCTGAAGAACTCGTCATGTTAATATCTTCGCTGCCGCCAAGTAACTCCAAGTCGTTGTAAGTTCTCCCCAGGTGTTGTCTGTGACTGGCCCATAGGCAAGCCTCGACTCATGGGCAACATACTGCAACAATGTGCGTGACGGAAAAGAACACTCAAGTGATGAATATGAATGTTTTATATATTTTTATATTGTCTTTATGACTTCCTCAACATGGCGGATATCCACCAAGTCGTGGTTCTCTCATGACAGAACACCTCTACAGATTTCATGAAGAGATTTCAAGGTTCAATAGAAACCTTCGGTCCAAGGAACACCACAGAAGAAGTCGATATCCATTTCACCGTCAAAAGGATATTCACCTCGGTGCAACCCTCGTCAATCATCCCCTTTCTAGGATGGAACAAAGATCTAAAACACATGAAACCACCAAAGCTGATCATAATCATGCATACTAATATGACCCATTAATATCCACAATACGATAATGTTATTCACATCTTAGATTGTTAATCTCCCGTGAAAAATTGCTTTTCTGTTCGGACTGTTTGGAGTACCAGTTTTGGACAGCCTATTCCCAACATCGGCCCATTCTGAAAAAATCCACTGACGAATGGGGTCCCTAAGCCACACCAGAAAAAACCAACTTCCCAGGCACATATGGGGTATTGTTCAAACGTAGAGTACACCCCAACCTCCCATGGTCAAGCATCCGCTTGCCAATGAAAATAGCACTTTTTGGGGATCCGCCATTGCTGGAACTGACACTTCTCGACACACAACTTGCCATGCGACACTGGCGTCCGTGCATTGCGAGAGCGACAGAGCAGGGAAGCGAATCAAGCCCACTTCATTGTAGATCTGGGACCGACTGGCAACCCCCGAGATTTCACTCTCGCACATCGTCGCTGAAGTTTTTGCAAAAGTTGAAACCCCTCTGAACATGTTGAAAATTGAAGTACACATGAACATGGGAGGTCTCCAATGAACATACATTTAAAGGTGATTGACAGCCCACTTTTTCAGGTGTCTCCGGTGAAGTTCCTCCCTGGCTGTGGCATGCTTGAGTTTCGTGGAATTTCGCGAGGTCTGCCCCTTTATGCGTGGTTGGGATATGACATTGAACATCGCCAACAGTTGAAATCTATGTATATATATAATTATATAATATTATATATATATGATTCCAACCATCTAGACTAGAGATGATGTTTAAAATGACATCCCCAAAATGACCATTTTACCAACCCTGCCATCCTATGATTTGTTGCTCATTAAAACCACATGTGGGTTGCACCAAGATGAACCAAGCAGTTGAATCCCTGTTCTGGTTGCTTGAATCCCCACTTGTGAAGTAGTTCAATTTCCATGTTTGCCGGAGATGTTTTTCATAGACGAAGACTCATTCCCAATTTTTTTTGCTGGTCAAATGACCATTCTGGCTCATTAGACATATTAGAATTAGCACTATTGATAGTTTCCCCCAAGTAATCAAACGCGGTTTGCTGGAAAATCTCCCAGTTTTCGTTCCATGATTTCTTTGCTGCGCCGAAGCACAGAATGGGAATCAGGTCCAGATCCCGGCGTCCAACTGTGATACTTTGTCACCTCGGCATCTGAGACGACTTTCATGGCTACAAAGTGGAATATACAAAGTGGAATATACAACGGTGGTTTATGGTAATTGTAACTACAAAATGCATGTTATAATGATTCCCCTATATTCTAATAACCTGAGGGTTAGGCATCATATATAAACATAACATGTATATATATATATACAGTATATGATCAACATATATAACTGATAACCTATGTTCTAAAGAATTATCATTTCCGTTTACGAGGTCTAAGTTGCTGATTTGACGGGCATTTCACGTATGGTTTATGGCAATGAATAAGTGTTCAAACGGGGATAATGGGGATATCATTGTTTATGGCAATTAAAAACTATAACTATATGGTGAACACTATGGAGAATAAGTGGTTATTGTTTAAATAGGTTTATGGATATTTATGGCAACTAAACATACTATTAGACTATAGGGTGGTGTCCCCACCCATGTTTCCCCAAAAGGACACCAAATTACACCGATCCCCCGATCCAAAAGAAGATAACCTACCTCAATTGGTAGGGACATGTAGGGAATGCTGTCAGCATTTTTTTTGGGGCCGCTAGAATCTTAATTATCTTAATTGAGAATGATCATGTTCAATATCATTGGATCCAAATAGTTTCTTAGGAACTGGACGTTGATCTAGGGGGTTAGCTGATGTTAGCTGTACCTTCTAAGGCAGTGTTTGGATACATAGGGAATATAACAAACATGGCTACTTTATCATGCTCATGGATAATGATAGTATCATATATATATATATATTATCCCATATAGCACATTCATATGTATATCTATAATATACTATGTTGTAATCAGTAGCCAATGACTTTCATTATAATATCATGTCAAACATATTGACTGTAAATTTTATCATAGTCATGACAGTCATATCATCACAATAATTAATAGTGTGTATTAGCAATGATAAAAGTTACCATCTGGTTATTTAACATAGCCATGGAAAATCACCATGCTATTAATAGGTAAACCATCTATTTTCATGGACCATCTATACCATGGAGAATTGTTAGTCATAACCAGAGGGTAGCACATAATCAAATCCTTACAGATCAGATCATCAGATCATGATCCAACATGATTCAGACCCTGTTCCCTCAAGTTTGTTACTACTCAAGGAACACCTGAATAATTCTCTACTGGGGGGCCCTACACTAATCAGGATCCAACATATTTACGCTTATCATCATCAAAAATAATGGTTGTCATCAATGATTATCATCATCATAACCCTATCAGATCATCATATCATTGTTTATTTACGATTATCATTGATAACCCTGCACTAATCATGATAACATTGATGATCACCACTAAAGAAAACACTGCGATTCAGCTGTCGAGCCACAATCTCATCCACAGCCCCGACGTTGTGTCCAGGGTCGTACTTGGTCGCGTACAGATCTGCCTGAACCAGGTTTACCCGTAAGGTGAGCAAACATTACTGGGAAATCCCGCAGGAAATGGACATTTACGTGGGAAAGTATACATGGTTCCCCATTCAGATGAAAAGAAACTGGTATAGCCACACCCTTCTGAGACGTACCCACCTTGCCATGGGCTTCATGCTTGTCCTGGTTTGTGCAGTGGACATAAATAAATTATAAAAGGATATATGATATTGATGTATATATTATGTGTGTGCGTATTCATCAATGTTCCTTACAAACATGTCCTCCATAAACTTCTAGTTGCCCTTTGCGACCCTCCACGCGCGCAAACAACAATGTCTATCGGGTCTATGGCATAGTCCGAGGTGCTTCTTCACTGGGATAGTCCCGATGGCATTCCATAGATAGTCATAGATCTTAGATTGAAAGTAAGTCATCATTTCCATCCAAAGCCAATTTCCAAGAAATTTCGTAGATTATCTGAAAACAATCTCCATTAACCTGGTTATACATCCCATGATAGACCCATGATATCCGATTCTAGTTGGTTTTTTATCGTATGAGTCACCATGAAACAATCCAAAATCCAAAGATATCTCATAGATGATCCACAAAAGAAATATCCCTATCCCATCCTATACTGGTTGGATAGTAATCCCCGTTATATGACTGAAAAAAAATCCCCGTGAAAAACCAGGTAGTAGAATCCACTATCCATAGGCCAAAAAAACATCTATTAACATCTATTAACTATATTGGAGTAGCAACATAGCTTATAATTATTACAGGCCATTGTAGGTATCAGGTTACAATAACCAATCAACTAATGATCCCAATCTCCCAAGTATCGATTCGATGATTTTCCCATGATGTCCCAGGCAGCAACGTTTTTTTGTTCAGGAGGCTATCCATGGGATTCCCCGTTTTTGGATTATGATCTTCAATAGATGAAGGCTAGATTTGGCCCAAATGTGGGTAAAACAATGCCATAAATCAAAATAAATCACCCATGACTGGGAATGGTAACCATACCACCTATCTATGATGATTTGGGGGATGGTTTATGAAATTGTTTTACCCACGTTAGTATAATTCCCGAACTCATCATCAACCAACAGGGATTCTCTCCAGCAGAAAGTCGCCTCGGCACTCACAGTACTGGAGCCTTGGAACACGTCCGCTCCGAAGAAGGCCGTCAGCGGTGCTACCGCGCCACGCGCTGTGCGAGCCTGCCATGGTATGACAATAATGGGGATAAATCATATAAATCATCGGATTTTTTGGATCCAACCTTACCCTCTGGTAAACTAACATGACTATGAAAATCATTGAAAATCACCATGTTTGATGGGTAAATCCACTATAAATGGCCATTTCAAGGGTCGTTTCTTGGGAAAGAATGGGCTATGATGTAGGGGGTTAAGATGTGGAGTACCTTCTCAGGACGTGTTTGGATCCATAGGGGCGGACATACATACAATTCTTATCAATAATTACATGAAGATTGCTCACAACCATTCAAAGCCTCTGATGTTCATTAATTTTCCTATTTTTGGAATGAACATCCAGCTACAGTAACTTTTTCTTGTGATGTGAACAAAAGGGTGGCATTGGATTCATAGCCATATGGCCATATGATTAATGTATTTGGGTTGGAACAGGGTCAAAAGTGAAGGTATGCAATTTTGGATTTCTGATTGATGCTTTGCAGGGAGGTGAGCTTAGTAAGCCATCCAGTTGGACGCATATGGTGTGCACACAAAATTGGGAGATCTGAATGAAATTTATCAAGCGGTTGTCTCTCGCATTAATTTCAGCACCTCCAAATAAGTGCTTCGACTTGGAACCTACCCAACCACTTTTCCGCTCAAAGAACAGCATAGCAGCCGGAATGAGCCAGTGGCACTGGCATGGCATCAATCGGTTCAATACGCTGGTTCTGGCGGTTGATGGCTAGCAAAACACAAACTGAATGGTGGTTTCAACTCCAAACTTCGTCATTGGGCATTTGAACAATCAATGGTATGTCATACCACTTTAATTAACCAGTTCTGATTTGCACCCCAACCTTTGGGTGAAATTCCACCAGCCCAGGGGCCCAGGTCGCCTGCGGATTTGTGCCTGCTGCTGTTGAATAGATACCCCACCACTCCTGAGGCGCGGCTCGTTCTGTTGGTCATCGTTCAACTCGATGGACTTCTCTGATATAGCCTCTGGTTATGACTAACATAGCCATGGTATAGATGGCCCATGAAAATAGATGGTTTACCTATAAAAAAGGGTGGATTTTTTCCATGGCTATGTTAAATAACCAGAGGGTATTCCAGGAAACTTGGTTCTTGACCCAGACATACCCAGACTATGTGAGCATTTTCTCTGTTTCTGTCGAAGAACATTATCACAAAATGTCCATGCATTTTGATGGTGTAGGTTGAGCCCAATACTAAAACCATCCCCAATTGGCAATTGGTGGTTTATTCTTGGGTGTCCCGTACACCGTGGAAACCAATCCATGTGACACCTCGTTGGCGTAGCCATCGGGCAAACCTCCGAAGGCCGAACCGCAGCTGTCGTGATCACTGGGCGATCCACACTTCCACCATTCATCCTGCGGATCTGGCAAAACCTTGTGGGACTTCAATGGGTTCAACTCAAGTATATAATATAAATATGTATATGTATGTATACATGTATACACGTATATACATATACAATCATGTATATATATATATATATATGTATACACATCATATATAAAACAATGTATATGTATATAATCATATATATATATATAATGTATAAATATATATACATATACATTATATATATGTATGTTTATATGTATATATCAACTAAAAAATGCTTATTATATATATATAAATATACATAACTAATTATAAATGTTTGCTTTTTTATCCTTATTATTATTATTGTTGTTATATATTATCCAAATGGGAAACCTTGGGAATCAGAAAGTGCCTGGCTGCAGCACCTTTTCCTCCTTATGCTCTCTGGAAGTTAGAATCCTGTCACTGCTCATGAGTTTCATCCAGAAAATCAACAACCATATCATATTAGGGATAATCACCCCAAAACAGCATTGGTTTATGCGTTCACGTTAAATCACGTTAATTCATTTTCACCATTCAATAACGTTCATTTGGCGTATACGCGGTTTCTGGAGTGATCCAAATGAAACAACATAATGACAACATCCAAATACATCCAATTATACTTACTGGTCTCACTGGTCTCTATTGATTATACAGTTAGTGATTATTCAATTATACAGTTAGTGATCATCCAATATACTATTGACAACTTAGTGGTCTCATCCAATTATGACATATTATGACGACATTATACTTACCGGCCATCAACCATAGTGGTATACAAATCCCAGTTGTCCATGGCCAATTCCTAATGTCACACCACCGTGGTTGATGGCACCAACGCCACCACCGGCACCCCACCGGCACCCCATGGTCCCAGCGCCCTTTCGGCTCCTGAAAAGCAAAGATAATACCTGGCACTGGGCGAGTTGGAAGCCACATGTCTACAGTGATGGCCATTTATTAGTTATAACTGGCTATAAATGGGATTATATATTCCATAAATGAGGTTATAAGTACTTATAACTGGTAAAGGGCCAAAACTGTATGTATATCACCATCACCATCATCGTCATCGTCATCGCCATCATCATTGCGTGATTCTCGTGATGTTTATTGAACATGTTTTGTTTTGATTATTATGTCACCATGTACTACGGCTAGTGTGATTGTGAGATCTTGTAACAATATGTGTATATGTATATATTATAGGTGTATACTGTATATATATATATACATATATATATATTATGTAGAAAGAGCGAGCGAGAGAGAGAGAGAGAGACAGAGAGAGAGAGACATAAATTAAATTTAAGGAATATCCAACAGTTCCCAGCCAAAGTATATATGGGTTCACTTCTTCTTCAGAAATCCAGCTGTGGGTCTGCCTGGTGTCACCCCTTGAGGCACCTCCTGAAACCACATCCCGCCAGTTTCGAAGCTCCAAAGCCAAAGACTCCAAGGCATCTTTCCTGAAGCCGTCGGGTGAGCCACCACAAATGAAGACTCAACATGACTTACCAACACAATCATAATGATTAATGATTAGTGATTATATAGTGGTCTTCAATAATGGCTTAATAATGGTATACAAATGTATTATAAATCAAAATGATTATGTGGATGTATGGAATGTATGGAGGTTCCCTAAAATGAGGGCAACCCCGATAGCTGGATGGTTTATTTTATCAAGAATCCGAAAAGAAAATGGATGATTTGGGGGTACCCCCATGGATTGGACACCTCCACATTGCTATCATCTCAAATGATTCACTGGTTGGTGGTATACCTACCCCCCTGAAAAATATTAATCAGTTGGGGTTACTATTCCCAATATATGGAAAAATCAAACATGTTCCAAACCACCAACCAGTTCATGTGTATCATCTATGCACTTGGCTTTCTTAAGGGACTTTTGCTCCCACAATAGCGGGTGTGAATAGGTCAGCTGCCCCAGATGGTCTACCTATAGCGATGTCAAACCTGGACCCCTCCATCTGTCTCCAAGGCGCTGCTCGTCATTCTGCCACTCTCGCTGGTTGCTGTTGTCATAGGCATCCGCGCCGTACTCTGTGATCATCATGGGCAATGTGCTCCTGAGCCAGTCAAGGCCGACAACAGCAATCTCTGTAAAAAAAAAAAAACTAAAAAAAACAACGCTTTAAAATTTCCGAATTGATCTTTGGGACTGGGACTGCGCTATGTTCATTTTGGGGATCATAATCACATATACAGATATACATACATCATATGCATATATATATATATATAATAACTATGTGTATGTAATATATATATATATATACGGTAACTACATTTAAATATACGGACCTTTAAATATACGAACAGTTAGACTACCTCCGGGAAGGTTTTCCTTGGCCCGCCCGGCCATTTAAACATACGGAATCCAATTCATTTAAACATACGATAACTACATTTAATATATGGACTGGTATTTCATACGACCTCCGGGACCTCACGGTCTCGCCTGCCCTCCACATATTTAAATGTCGTTACCGATCGTTACCGTATATATATTATGGATATTATACTTACACCTACACTCACCATATCTCACGATCACTGCTTCCACAGGAGTGCCAACCATTTAACCCATATCCCAGGGTGGTGCCCCAACATGGCAAACTTTCAGAAGAAAATACACTGGAGAAGTGGCTTGAAGGATCCCCTTGAGCAACATCTTGCCGGTTGGGACAGGTTGGGAACACATCGGCTAAACCTCTTCGAGACCAACAATCTTGACACAAGGTCAGCATATCGCTCGGACGCAACACACAAGGAAAGTGCCTTCGGGTGAACAGAGGTGCTACGAATTATGTGCGGAAGTCAAATGTTAAGGGAAAAAAATGATCATTCACGTGGTTTAGTTACAATAAATTGTCCTCAATCATCCCAACATATAATCTTGACACCCTTACATCAAATCATTGCTATCATAAACAAAGAAGCAAACTACCCAAGCACATCTCCGAAAATGGCTGGCACATCTGCTGACTTTGGAGATCGTTTACCCAGGTATCCCCAAGGTGTTTCTTCGCAAATAGGTAGTAATAATACGGCCAAACACCTCGTCTTGCCCGCGCCTGTTGGCCCACCTTCTTCGTATGAGCTGAACACGTGGTAAAAATGAGATATTTTAGCATTATGGTTAACTTGATGTTCTAGATCAGAACGCACAGCAGAGGGACCTGTGCGGGTTCGTTCCACATCATCATCATCATCATCATCATAATCATCATCATCATCATCACCATCATCACCATCATCACCATCATCACCATCATCACCATCATCACCATCACCATCACCATCACCATCACCATCACCATCACCATCACCATCATCATCATCATCATCCATGAAGATCTTCAACAAATATAGAAGTTTAACCCCGGTGGGAGAATTGAACCCTTATTGAAGATCTTCAATGAATGTAAAATGAATGTAAAGTTTAACCGGGATGGGACTTTTATATTCCCTAATACCTTTGTTGATCTTCCCAAGACAAGAAGGGTGTGGGCGAAACGGGGTGTTTGCGCGTAATAATACTAGCCTGCTTGGTTATTTTTAATATTTTCCTTTTTCTATCAACTGGGCAACTTGTGTGTGTATTTTAAAAGCTCCTTGGGCTCCTAGAATACAAGCGTGGCTATATGTGTTTATATATATATAATTATATATTTTTAAATATGTTTTCAAAAAAGCAATCTCCTACCAAGCTATAATATCCCCTACTAAGCTACCGTTCACCAAGAGAAACCAATCTTGGACCCACTCAGCATCGTCACGGCCGAAGCTCGGGTAAGTGCTGAAGAGCGATGAACCAAAGGATGTCCCTGGTGTGAGTCTGGAATCACATGGAATTAGCATAGCGACAGTATGAGGCAAATGACCAAAAATGTGCACTGGAAACAGCATACTTAACAAGATACAATGCGCTTCAAACGCTAGAAACCCGTCATTTTCATGGTTAAAACATGTTTAACATGGGATTATCCAACAGTCCTTTCGTGTTATCTACAAGGACTACATTTCTTTTGGGGGAAATATCAGCACTACTTTATCAATGGCTGCTGAATATAACGCCTGCCCCAAATGTCATGTTCATGTCGACTCTGCAAATTCACTTCATCTCAATACTCCTGGATCAAATGAAAGCAACCCGGATATACCCTCTGGTAAGTTAACATAGCTATTGAAAATTGCCACATTGAAAATGGTAATTTCCATAATTATGTTAATTTACCAGAGGGTAGTTCCCTTGCTACAGCTTGGAATCCATGGCCAATCCGCCTCGGTAAAGATTCAAGCACCACAGGTCGACAGCATTGGGATAACTGGCTTCCAAGGCAAAGTACTCAGAGAGGTAGTTGTCCTGCCAAAAAAAAATGAGTTTTTTGCGGGTGTTCAACTCCTGCACTTGGTCCAAATCAATGTGGAGGGTCACTCTTATCTCTTATCTCCGAGAATGAAATTCATGTTACATGTTCATATTCTGACCCTCAGCAAATGGCGAAGCACGTTTGGGAACAACAAAACTGTATCAAACATTTGGCAAGGTTTCTTTGCTCATGGGCATTGAACATGATTGGTGAAATGTAGCTGTGAAAAAAAAAAACTATCAGCCCACCAAAATTGATGGTTCAAAACAAACAACCACCAGTTCTGTGGATCCGTAGGGACTCTGGTTTTAGCCCGTACCCAGTCCATTAGCGGAGAACAAACGGGATGCCACACACCGGAAGCTGATTCTGCCTCACAGAGAGGAAGGATCACTGTGTCACCATTAACCTCCAACAACTTGCTGTTTACCCGCAGAAACATAGTGTCTACTAGACTCTCTACCCATTCTTAGGGTTACAAACTGAGTGTCAAGGATTGTTTTATGTGGTAAAAACCCAATGCCATAAACCATCCGAAGATCACCATAAATGGGTTGTATTCCAACCGTCCCCAAATGGTAGGTTCATGGCCTTGGGTTTACCACATTGTGGGATATAATTGGCATATAGTACCAGTATGATCCAGTATATGTATAAATATTATATATATATATACGTATATATAACTTGCATATAATTGGGATACTAATGGGGTAAACCAACCATTGGATATTTGAGTGTATATCCTTTCGTCCCATTATTTATGGTTGCTTTATCTTAGATTAGGTTTACAACATGATAATCCATTCTTCCCATATTTCTTCTTTAAATCACTTCACTCAAGAATTATTCATTCATTATGATCTCTATCATCGTTGGTTACATTTATATAGCATTATATAGCCATGATTCACCACTATTACCCTCCGGTAAACAAACATAGCTATTGAAAATGGACATAGAAATAGTTGATTTACCCTTTTAACATGGTGATTTGGAATAGTTTTGTGTGTGTTTACCGGAGGGTAACCACTATTAACCACCATTCTGACCATCTGGTTGGTGGTATACCTACCCCTCTGAAAAATATGAGTTCGTCAGTTGGGATGATTATTCCCAATATATCGAAAAATAATAGCCATGTTCCGAATCACCAACCAGTTATCACTTGAGACTTTACTTGGAATTTATCACAACCAAAAAATTGGTGGATTTTCCAGCAAGACCACATTGGTTAATCCAAAAGGGTACGAGTGAAACTGCACTCAATCATGGATAATCATCTGGGCAAATTATATAATATTTCACTCACCCGAATCTTGCGGCCATAAAAGGGGATGATTTCCCTAAAATAAACATAAATAAACCATGGATTTCCAGGCTTAGGGAGAACAGTGAGGTCCTTATAATTTACCCAACGCCTCATGGCCCCCATCGCCTCATGGATGGCCGTGGTGACCTCATTGACGTAGGACAAGTGCTCCGAGCGCCTGGCCGACGTGTCTGCCTGAGCCGAAGCCGGTTGCTTTGTGTCGTGGGAAAACCATGGTTTTGTTTAAAAAAAAAACGATGGAGGATAAAAACCAAGGAGATTTCAGATGATTTAGTGGGATTTAGAGTTAGAACATGTTAGAACATGTTAGAACTCTTTTTTTTCAAAGCTAAATTGGTTTTGAAGATAAAAATAACACTGTTGGCTGTGTGGCAATTGCAGCTGTAGTGAATGGAGTTTAAAGCAGGTGTATCTAAGGAGCACCCTGCAGGGATATGTACTAACATTACATACGCATACATAGTGTGGATTATAGATATGTGTATATATATATATATATACATATATATATATATATTGTACATACACAGTATATTACACACCCTATCCAAGTAGTTTCTTAAGCATTTGGGACATAATTTTGGACTTTAAGCACGCCGTTTTGCGGAAGTCTTTGGATCCGGATATCGGGGGTGGGGAACCTGGACACACATATTACAGAACTATTACAATCTGGTGGGTGGTATACCTACCCCTCTGAAATATATAAAGTCAATGGGAAGGAATATCCCATATATTATGGAACATAAAAAATGTTTGAAACCCACCAACCAGCTATAGAACCAATTAAAAACAATGTATCGAGAATCCTGTGTCCTTCGCCCCTGCATGAAAAACAATGTTGGTCAATGATGAACCCGGCTATGGCGCCAGTGGGCCCTAGATTGGTGCCCCAAAACATGGGGTCGCCATAGCTAGAAAACACATCCCATGGTCTCCGAGTTCCCAATATATCAGGATTCTGGCCCCTTCCTTGTGTGTCTCGAAACCGAACCTTCATTCTCTCACCAGATTTCCGGTTCCCCAAGATCTCCAGCTGTTGCTGTGTTCTAAAACCCTTTGCCGAGAGGCATAAAAGTTTTTTTCATTGCCAAAGCCCCAAAGCAAAATTGCAGGATGAAGTTTGTACTTGTTCACCACAGCCAGGGCCTTGGCAACTGGAGAAGAGCATAGCAAATCTCTGGTGCATGCTGACTTAGACTTAGACCAACATTTTTTGAGGCAATTTACCAACAACAGTTGGAAAAATTGGGCTTGTCCAGAAATATGGCAAGAATGGGCAAGACTAATAAAAAACTGATGGTACACCATCAAGTTTGGGGATACAATATTTTTAGACAATTTTAT